AATTTTTATGATACAACCCCTTTCCAAATTTGCAAAAAATGGGTCTGCTGAAAACTGACAAAAATTCACTAATTTCAAATCCATAAGTTTTCTAATTTTATTCAGATTTTGAAGCGGCATGCCTCTAATAGTAATTTCGTTTCATACATTCTATATAAATTAATAATTTAGTTGAATTTTATGTAAATCGGACGACTGTATCATATAGCATTCTAACAATCGGTGAAAGCATGGAAAAATAAATGGAAAAGTCTTCATTACTTATTTTAACTAGTAAATTTGCCTGCACCTCCGCTTCCTGCAGACTTTCTAATTTATTTTAATTTGAGTGCCAGCGAAATCGCCACGAGACTATCAACGAGGCGATCAACTCGGTCCTTTGCACCTTTCCTGTCTGCTCCTCATAACTCAGAGCACTCTTGGCCACAATTCCCCGACCTGGTCAGACCAACTTTGCCGTAGTGGGAGAAATCTTTCAACTTTGTCTGGGGCAGGAAAAGTGCCGGCCATTCCTCTTGTTCTCCCTCCACTCTTAAAATCGCACTTTGAACCACTTTGGCAGCGTTTATTGATTCCAATGATGACCCCAAATTGCAGCAATGAAAGTTGACCACGCAGCTGGGGCCTTTGCCACTTTTGGGGGGGCGGTAAAGGGGGAGGAAAGAAAGGAGCGGCAGCAAATGAGGCGTGGCCGATGAAGAGCAAGGTGAAAACGAGCAGAAGGCCTTGACATTTTGCGTTTCAAAAGAGAGAGATAGAGAGAGCTTGGAAAGTATTTAATTAAAATGAAACGCAATCACACCCACACCTTTGTGCACTGGTACATGGATACACAAGCTACGAGCTCACTTAATCCATCTGCACTTCTGGGGAATACCTTCGCTGCTGCATTTTGTGGCAATAAATTCAAAGCCAACTGCGTGTGATGCTCAACAAACTGGCAACTAACACATAGGCAGTCGAATGCACAAACACACACACACCAACACACTAACAAACATAGAAAAACACTCATACGCAGTGTGGCCCAGTGCAGTGCTGATCTCTCCTGTGGGCTCCTCTGCACATTTTTGTTACCAAGATTTTAACTGTCAGCAAGTTGGGCGACTTAATTTGAATTTACGGCACCGCCAGGGGCGCATCTACCGCCTCGCTCTCTCTCACTCGTACACTCGCCCCGTCTCTTTCACTCTCTGGGGGGCCAAGCTATTATTTTGCACAAACAGTATTTAATACTGGGTGTAGGTCCGGGTTCTGCTTCTGGTTCTGCTCCGGTTCCTATCTCCTTTCTGGTCTCTTCAGGTCGAGGTCTGTCCAAGTAAACCTGTGTTCGTGCCTGCTCCATGCCCCAAAGTCTCTCTGTGTGTGTGAGTGTTTGTGTGTTTTTCTGGGTGTGCGTTGTATGTGGGTGACAATAATATTCAAATTCCACTCTGTTGCAGTTCCATTGCCAGCGGGCAGCGGGTGGTGGGCGGTGGGTAATGGCCGCTGGGCGTGGCAATGACACTTTTACACTCCATATATCTGCCTAGGAAGTCGCCACTCGCCTGGTTACCCTTTCAAGTGCACTGAAAAAATGGCTGAGCAAGAACTATCTTTGACACTGTGTAATTGGGAGTATTATTTGAAAATTAAAATATCAAATAATATATATAAATAGAGTAAAACCAGATAGGTAAAATTATAAAACTATAGTAAAATAAAAATCTACATATATGATTTAGTTTATTGGTAAAAGTCTAGGAATATATTTATTACTTACATAATTAATAGATTAAACTAGTATCTATTATTTTGCCCCGCAATCTATTTCTATTTTGTAATTATGGTGAGAAGTTACTACTCTACTTTTTCTACAGACCAACCTATAAAGCTCTTACCAGGAAGTTAAACCATTTTATTTGGCTCACAATAAGCATAAATACGTTTGCGGAGTATATATGGCCCCGTTACGACTTTCTGCGAGTGCATTTCTCAAGCCCCGCTTGCGTTTTCATATTTATGTGTCTCCTGATAGCACCGCTGCAGTCAAAAGTTTTTCTTCTAGCTCCTCGGCTGTGTGTGTTTGGGTGTGTGTGTGTGTCGGTGTGTGTGTAACAGCGAGTGTGTGTATATGCTAATACTTCAGCGCACATGGCAGGGCGCTATTATCGCGACTGCCACTTGGGCGTCGAACTTCCGCTTTGCTTCTGCTCCTCCAGCTCCTCTGCTCCTGTGGCTCCTCTGCTTCAGCGGCTCCTGCTGCTCCTCGTCCTGCGGAGTGGAGGATCTCTCTTGGCGGCCCTGAGCTCTCGGCGCTGAGCCCTCAGCTCGATGGCAGCCCAGAAGCATTTGCAATTTGGGTTCGCATTCGAGAGCCGCAGCGCTTCCCCCGGTCCGCCGAATGTTGTAAAATGAATTTTACTTCATTTTGATATGTTCTCCCAGCTGGTTTTAGCACCAGGCACATAAATACTTGCGGGATATGGGGGGCGGCTGAGTTCGTTTCAGTTTGTTTTGCCACTATCGCAATGATAATAAATTTTATTAATCTCGCCGTCGCCCACACACGCGGAGTCAAATGGATGGAGGAGCAACTGGATGGAGGAGCAAGTGGCCGCTGATCAAGTGCTCAACTAGTCGAAGGCATTTGTAAGGGCGGTCGCAAACAAGGACGAGTTGAGGACTCCTCGTCGTCTCGCCACTTATTTCCATTTCGTGGCAGCTGACGGCGGAAGACACCACATGCCACTGTTGCTTTTGCTGTTGCTGTTGCTGTTGCAACTCCAGCTGCACTCGCGAATTTATTATGTAATTATTGTTGTGCATTCTAATTGCGTGGCACATTTATTTGGCTTTCACTTCGCCCACTGCGGGGAGTTTTTTGCAAATTAGCTGAGCGCCAATTAGCAATGCTGGAAATTGGGAAAACGTGCTCCTATTATCGCTACATCTGGAGTTTCTTTAATACAATTAAATTGGCTAGCAACAAAAGTACAGTTAAAAAGGATGAACCATTTTTAAGAACTTTTTAAGTAAATTGAGTTCAGTAAGTATTTAAAAAAGGATTTCCTTTAAAAAGGCATTGAATAATATTTAAATTATTTATATATTGCTCTAGTAACGACCTGATTCCCTTTCTATTGGCCTACTGCAACCTCAGCTACCAAACTAATCAGCCCGCTCTCAAAGAGGTCACCACAAAATAAAGCCACCGCTGTGAGCTCAGCGAAATCCCAGGGAAATCTCCCACGCTCCAAAAACCAGAGTGGAGTCCACAATATATACTATATATATATATATATATATATATATATATATATATATATATATATATGTGGCATCGGGCAACTCGTGCAGAAGCGGACCCAACTGGCTAATCAAAAATTTATTTAATTTCTTGGCTGCTCAAAGGCCGGCCGCAGTGAAAGTGCGTCCACGTCCGCCGGCATCCTGGAGCCTGGAAAGCCCCAAAGACAGCAGGAGCAGTAAATGCCGGGCATCAAATTTGATGATGTCAACCATGAGCCGCTCCGCGATGTCCATGTCCTGTGTGCCGAGTTCCGAGTTTGGGCCACTCTGGCTGCGGGAAATGGGAAATGCAGTCTAAAATCCAACAAATGCCGGAAATGCGCCGCTGCAGCTGCCGCAGCTATTGCGATTAAACTTTCCGCATTAAATATTTCGTCCGGACTCGAACGGGCAGCAAAGTTCGTTGTTGGTTGTTGGTTGTTGGTTGTTGTTGGTTGTTGGATGTTGGATGCTGGCAAGTGGAACTGGGAACTGGGACGCCGGGCGGATGTTGCGGCTGCCTTTTCGCCAAATCTAATTGCAAATTTCATGTAGCCACGGCCGACAGCCCACGGCCACGCCCACTCGACAACTGTATAAACATTGTGGCCACTGGCAACTGTCATTTTTTTCCTTGTCCGCGTTTCCCGTATGGCTGCAGTAAATCATGAAATTTATTTAGCAACATGCGCTCGTCGCGAAACGCCGCAAAAAACCCGACTAAATAAATTGCACAAATGTTGTACGCTCTTCGAGTGGCAGTGAAAGCCGCCATGGCAACTTCCTTTTCGACCAGCATCAACCAGCCCCACAAAAATGCCGCCTTCCCCGGGGCGAAGTGTCATTAATTTTGATGTGTTTTTAATTCGGTTTCGTTGGGCAAACTCATTGACAAAGCCTCGAAAGAACACACGCCTCGGAAAGTGCAGCATGGAAATGCTGTTTGGGATTTAATTAAAACTAATGAAAACTTTTGTCCCAGCCCACAGTGTTTTCGCCCTTACAGCAGTCAATCTTGCAATTTGCGCCCAACGACAAATGACAAGAGACAGGAGGCATGAGGCTGGAGGCAGGAGGCAGGATTTTTAGGTCCTGCCAACTGGCACAAGCCAGGCCGAGCACTTGGCCGACATTTTACCAAATCCAGCCGAAAGTGGGGCTGTGTGGGAGGGGGAGTCTGAGGAAAATGGGGCTGAACTTCAGATTCGACCTCGGGGCGAAATGACAGACGAAAGTTGAAAACACTTTGGCCACAATTGCGCAAACCGAACAAAATGAGCTGCAACCACGCACTCGAGGCCAACTCGGAAATGAGCAATGAAAGTGCGTGGCCATGCAATTAGACAACTCCTCCAGGAAGTGGCCAAGATGAAAGTTTTATGCCAGGAAGCGGTTGCCAAAGGTGCACGAGCTTAAGTTCGAGGGCAGTTGGTTTTTGGCCAGCAGATGAAATCTCTTTCATCGCAAAACCATTAATTATAATGTTGTTATTGAAATTGTGAAAGCCGATAACATCTCTATAATTATTGTTCTTTCTGTAATGAATTTAAATTGCAGGCAAACAATTGAAACTACTTATTCATTTGCGGCGAGCAAAGAAAAAACAAGTATTTATTGAGCTCTGCAATTGTATGTTAAATAGCTTTAGTGTGTTCACAATGTAAACAAAAAATTTATCTCCTTAACTTATACTATTCAAACAAGGGCTTTAAATAAAATACAGCAACAAATTCTGATTACATTTTAATTCTTTAAATATAAAAAATATAACTGTAGCTGATTTATCACAGAGTATTTTATATTAAGTTCTTATGCAAATCGTTTCATCATGCGATAATATAATATTATTAAAGGAATTATTTGATTTCGCATTGTTTCCATTCCATTAGCTTTTTTGCATTTGTCATTGGCATGAAATAATAATTTAATTTTCAACATGTTAATTTTTATGTACCTTTTTTAATATCTTCAGTTTAAGGCAGTTCAGTGATCATTGAAAAAAATATATGTAAGCCTTCGAGAAATAGCAACTGAACACCATCTTAATCCCTCTTTCTACCATGACAATATCTAGCCGGGGCAGGAACTTTTAGGAAGGAGCAGGGTCTTTTGCGCAGGTATGGGGACTTGACCCGCAAAGATGAGGGTTCAGGAAGGGACATCGTGGCAAAGGAGTTACCATCCGTGCTGCGAGAACTTATGGAAATCTGAGAGGCATCCGATGATCTCATTGTATTGGCAGGAGTGAAAACATTAATTAAGGGAGCTTGGGGAGGTCTTAGATTCTGGGGCTGAGCAATCGGCTTCACTTCGCGGGACTTGAGGCTCGTAATTGCATGCACCGAACAATTCGGGTTCCCTCCAGCTGGTTTAATGGTTACCATGTAGGAGTAGGAGGATCCCTCCTCCAGGACTTTGCTGTTATCGCGCTGGAGCTGCAGTTTCATGAGGAGGTTGCCAATCTGGCTGATGATCTGTTGAGTTCCCAGCGATTCCTTTGGAAATTCGGTGGGCATTGATTTCTCCCGGTTTCTTAAAATCACGGAGTTTGGAATGTTGAACGTTCCTTTAGATCGCTGAATAGTTGGTATTTCTCGAGTCAGCGACTGCGATTTTCTTGGACAATCTGCGGGGTCAATGAAAACCTCTGGGTGATCTCCTTTTTGGTCGCCGTCACGTTTAATATCGAAGGTTGCCTGCCGTCGAATACTTGGCCTCTCGGGAATTGATGAAGGGATTTCCACCTCATGTACTGATTTCGCCATCATGATCTGCTCCTGCAGGTTTTTCAGCTGCTCCAACTTGCAGCGAATCTGCTCCAGATTCGAGGTAGTTTGCAATAGCAGCTTGCTTTCATTCAGGAACACTTCCAACTCGCAATTTCTCTGGCTTTCCGGAACGATTGCTGAGTCATTAACTTCCTCATCATCTTCTGGCCGTGAAATTCGAAGGCTACGGAGATCCTCTTGAAAACGGATTTCATCTTGTTTCGCTTTGATTTTGGCCAGTGCCTTTGCGCTTAGTATAATTGGTAAATCCAACTCTGAGGGGGGTTCTACATCATCCAATTCAGATCCCGGGTTGTTCTCTATTTCAGAGGTTACCTTCTTCATCCTCTCCTCTTCCATTTGGTAAAGAGATTCTTCCAGATCGTAGCGATCGGAAATGGGCAATCCATCCACCAGGATGAAGGGCACTCCGGATTCAAATGATACGATGGCCTGGTTCTCGATGTCCGATTGACTCTCCTCCGAGCTTACAAAATGCGAAGGTCCAGGTTGTTCAAGGTTTGTTGGAGTTACTATACGGTTTTTCTTCTTTTCCTTCATAGTGGCTGTGAAACAAATATAATTGAAATTGTATTAGAATTATACAAAAAACTGAATAATGGTGACATCATTTTCACTAAAAAAATGTAGTGTGAAATAGATGACCTATTGTTTTAATTTCTCCGCGTGTACAAGCTTATATGTATTTTAAGCACAATCGCCAGCCAAATCGGCCACTCTCATCGCATCGCGCTGCATTTGATTGCGGCCAAGTCGGCTTGAGCCGCGATTAGGCCAACAAGAAGCACTCACCTGGTCGCCAGCAAGTCGACGCCGCCGCTCCCACGGTTGTTGCGCTGTTGGCCCGGCAGCAAACACAAATTTAAATCCCTCAAAAGTACTTGCTAAGAAAAACGAAATTGAAAAGGATAAAAGTTTCTGCGTGCCCCGGAATCAACAGGGACGAGCCTTCAGCCCGAGATCCAACTCCTGTTCGTCCTTTTGCTTCAGATTCTGATTTTGTTTCTGCTCTTGGGCACTTGTGGCTGCCGCTGGCCAAATAATGGGCGAGGGTGGAGGGGGCGATGCGAAGCGGGCCAGAAACACAATCCGTAAACCAAAACTTTATTTTGTGCTGATAAAAACTTAAATGTTGCTGCCGCTGCCACGCAATCGTAAATGTTTGATATCCCCAAAGGTTAACAATTTCCGTTGCCGCTTGACTCTGCTGCTTTGCTTTGGCCCAAGTTAGTTCTCCTCGCTCGTTGTTTTCTTTATTTTGTTTGGCAAGAATTTTGCGGTTGGCCAACTAGACCGCATACATACATACGAACCTGCACACGCACACACTCTCCGTTTCCTCTGGAGTGGGAGTGTCTTTGGCCTGTCTGTTCGACTGCTGGCAATGGCTTTCGGTTGTGTCTGGGAATGGGATGGTATGCGATCTGGAATACGGAGACGGAGTACGGCGACTGCTACTTGGGGAAAGGCGTACTCAGTTCAATTTGGACATCGGCGGGGCGCCGGAGGAGTTGGCTAGTGTGACCGGGAGAGTCCGTGAGCTAATGTTTCTAAATTTTGATGTTCGAGTGTTGGTTTCCAAAAGCCACTGCTCCTGACAAGCCAAGCAATGCTCCTGTTTCAAGTTTACTTAACAACAACGAAAGTTAAAATTTATTTATTACAATGAACTTTAGTTTGTAACATTCTACATTTCATTTTAACAGGATAAGGATTCACATAAATATATACTTTTATGTTCAATTCAACACCCATCAAAATAAATACAAAGCTTTTAAGGCATAAATGGTTTATTAAACGTTTAACCCTATATTCAAAGCACACCTCCTTAATCTTTTATATCTCCGGAGGTGGGGGAACAAAGAGGTAACTCACAAGAGTAATAATGTCAGGGATAAAGTTACAACTTTCAAAATTCAAGAATGAATCAGTAGCCTGACATCAATTTTCTTTTCTCACATGAGAAGCAAAGAGCGGGTACAATAATTTCTCTTCAGCTTACGATATTCGTAGCACCAGTGGTTGGTCTAAAAAGCTCTCTCTTTGGCCCAGAACATTCAGCTCCGAGGACTTCGACCGAAGGACTCACGACGGGGTATAAACAAATCGAGTTGCTCCTGTCCGTGGAAACTCAGTTGAAATCGTTGCGAGCTGGCGAATGGACGTGTTTTGCGGTCGGTGGACAAAATCCAGAAATCACATCGAGTGGAAATCGGTGTCTTAGGTCGAAGTTCGTGTGCCAGAGTTCTTTTCCAAGCCAAAAGGCGAAGGCGCGAAAACACATTTGTGGCGAGTGCGACTATTCCGTGTTATCCCGTGCTGTTTTTTCAACCTCCCCATAAACGTGTGCGGGCAATTAAAGTTCCGGTCGCCCCACTGACTGATGGTCTCGCAAATGGCCATTGAAAATTGCATGTCGTGGCTGCGAGTTCATGTCGCAGAATGACGCCGAGCGAAAACTGCATGTGAGCCAGCCGAAGAGGGCTGAAAGTGTTTTTTGGCTAGCTCTTGTTCGCCTAAGTGGAATTATCAGCCAGCAAGACAAACGGCACGCAAAGCCGGGTCAATGAAAACCCCATCAAAGGCAAGTGCAAATATCTGGGGGACTGGGGCTGGAATCTAATTAAAGTCGAAATGGCATATGCGAAGCATGAAATAACTGCAAACGGAGGTGAAGCCTGGCAGTAACATCTGAAACCAGGCAAATGTTTTTAGCTTGACAGAAAGAGAACAAAAATTAGGAAGAGCAACAACCGCAAACCGATGTGAACTCTCATACATACGAAATTTATGAAAGGCAGTATCCCCGAATATGCTTTTTGTGTGTCCTGCCAGGGCAGCAATTTATTTATTTGTTTTCCTTACTTACGAAGCAGAAACGACAGCAAAAGTACTACTACATCAGCAGCTGGAGAGAAAACTCTAATAAAAACGATCTTAAATTATGACTCATGGGCTTTTAAAACACCAAAATTGTTCAACTCATTTTTAAACAAAGAGAAGCATCAGAATTAGATAATATTCTAATGAGTTATTTGATAGTAGGAATATAAATCATTTGGTGTAATTATTAAAGAACGTTTTTATTTTATTTAATGAGGTCAAAGATATAAAATTTTTAAATTAAAATTTACGTAGTGCACATTTTTGAAATGAACGAAAGTCTTCAACAAAAATGCATAACCACAATTTAAACAATGCAAGCTCATGTTTCGAATGTTCGATTGTTGTTATTTTAAATGTGAACATGAATATGAAATCCATTGTTTTTTCATAATAAAAGTAGTACCACATAAAACTTTTGTTTCTGTGTCGAAATTCAAATGAAGGCTATTAGTTAGCAACCTGGTGGCCTTAAACAGGACTCGACTCCTCACCCCTGGGCAATGGGGCTCCCTGGGCAGCCGCACGGTGCGTGTGCCGAAGTTGGGGGCAAACAATGCATATTCTAATATGCTAAATGGTTGCCATTGTAAGCAGGCACCCAACCCATTTCCCCCGGCGCCCCGTGACCACAACCGAAATTATTGCCATGCCGCGCAAACAAAGCAGTTCGGTTAGGAAAACAATGGCTCAGAACGGAGCAGTTGAGCCAGAATCTGCGGAGCTCGCAGTCGTCATAATTTCAATTAAAATTCAATTGAAATTATATGCAAAAACAAACAATGGTGTAAATTGTGGGGCTTGCCGGGGCACTCCCATAAAAGTCAATTAAATTATGCATTCGGCGATATTTATCAATCTGTGTGTTCAGCCCTCACACTCTTGTGTTTGTGTGTGTTTTACCCTTTTCAGTGCTTTCTTTTCGCCCTTTTCGATTGTTGTATTGATTGGCCGGGGAACGGTAATCGACATTTCAATAATTCCATAAATAGTTAAGTAACTACCCATTCCCAGCAGACCCTATTTTCTCTATTTTCCCATTTACCAAGGTTTTATTTTTTTGTGTGCGTTTTTTTTTTCAATTTAGTTCACGCCACTTGAACGAACTTAAATATTTCTTCACACTTTGCCTTGTCGCCATCGCCTTTTACCGAAAGTTTTCCAATTATATGTCGCCTTTTTTTCGCCAAACAGTTTTTCCGGGCTTCATATTTGCTTTTCCCCCTTCCCCTCTCATTTGCCCTTCCCCTTTCTCTATTTTTTCGCTCCCTCGCTGGAGAAAGTTTTTATCGTCGAGCAGGAAAAAATTATGCTGGCATTGCCTTCTCTCATATGATTGGCATCGCGGCGGCCCGAAAGTTTTCCCCTCCGGCAAATTATTATCATAAGCGAAATCGCAGCGCAACTGACGTGGATTTTCCCGGAATGGAAAATTCAGCGCAAACTATGTAGTTTGAATAAATGTCACAGGAGTTGGATCGCATAAAAATAAATCTCTATATAGGTCAAGTCAGAAGTCGGATACGATTTGCATAAGACTTGTTGATATTTTTTTTTTTAAGCCGGTGTCAGGCTAACGACATTTGCATTTGCAGCCGTATCTGTATCTGTATCTGTATCCAAGTGTATCTCTAAATATATATCTGTGTTTACTGCCATCCGCATGTCCCGAGATATGGCATACACGTTATTTCACTTTAGTACATTAGGGCAGACTTCCTCCTGCCGGTGCGCTTAATTTCCGGCGCAGTCAACAATACGAATCGGTATCCCCGGAGAGGGAGCAGGATGGTCCCGGGATTAGGGATTGGTCTGCTCCTTGCTCCCTGCTCCCTGCTCCTTGCTCCTGCTCCTGGATTTTGCTTTCTCGTCATGTTTTCCGAGAAAGCGGCAAAGAAAATAAGAGGTCCCCATAATTATAGGAAACCAGAAAGCAAGAAAGCGTGTTGGGGCAGTCAAGCTTTTGATCTCGCATTCAAATTAAAGTCATGGACACTTCCAGGGAATTATATCCCCTCGACCACTCCAAAAAGCCACATTCATTAACGAACTTCTACATATCCCGGCCAAGCCTTTCCGCCTTTGTCCAATTAGGAAGCTTGAGGGTCTTATCATAATTAGGTTATCCGGATGACTGGCGTAATTTTGTCTCCTCAAATATTTATGCTCTTCCCCACTTAATTTATTAAAATGCAATTTAATTATTTCAATATTTATAATATCCCCCAGTCAAACAGTCTCCCCTCAGGAGGTCCAATCACTTTGCAGCTTATTCGCCTCACTTTTGCATGTAACATTTATTTTTCGCTTTTCCCAGACAGCGGTTGCTTATGTGTGTGTGTTCGTGTGTTTGTGTGGGTGCACGTGTCCTTGTGCGTATCACTCATACGCACCGGTGGCTGCTCGGGGCCTGCAGGTTAATGCCAAGACCTCTCGGGTGCCACACTCGCAGCCAGCAAATCTTGCGTATGGCATTTAATTTTTTGACTTCTCTCGCGGCTCACGAGTCGGCAATTGTGGCAACTCTGGGGTGGCAAATTCAACCGTTGGTAGGGGGAATGGAAAACCCTCAAGGGTAGGGAAGGGAAGGCAGGGAGGCGTTCAAGGAGGTGGCTTGGCTTTCGGTGGCGTTGTGTTGCGGTTGCCATTCCTTGGTCCTCGAAATGCTCGCAGGCTGTAGCCACAATGTTGCCTTGGCAATGCAGAAATTACTAGTTGGCGAGGAATGCGTGCAGAGCACTGGAAATAGTGTTTTAAAGTTTATACAAAAAAAAAACAAATCTTGCTTAAAAATCTATATTAAATAATTTGTTATTAATATAAGTATAACATTTAAAATGTTTATGAAAAATATCAATTTTGTATATATAAATATTTATATAAAAGTAAAGTTCTTTGTCGAGTGGCTTGTTGCATGCGCTTTCGAAGCATTTATACTTTGAGAATTAATATTGGCTTACATTTTATATTATTTATAAGTGTATGCCATAGGGGAGGAGGGTTGACCGAGCCGGGCAACTATTTATATAAGTAGCACTGATAAGCTTGGATTATTTGGAACTTTGCATTCGGCTGCGGAGGCCGCAAGCCCTTGAGGAATTCCATTGAATTTGTTATTCCTGAAACATTCTCCTTTCAATTTCCATTAGTCTGTCATATTCCACTCGCTTTCGCTCGAGTCTGTAAATTGCCCTTCACTCTGCTTTTGTGAAATATTAAGTACTTTTTCATTTCCTTTTCCGTCGAGAATCCCTACGATTTTGCCACTGACGGTGGTGCCACCATTTCTGCCCACGGCTCGATTTCTGTTTGTGGCGCCGCGAGAAACAAAAACAAAATTTGTTTGCCATAAAAAATTGTCGCGAGTTACGCGGCTGGGTGACAAAATGTGGATGGCCGCCCCACTCTTCCCCCCTTTTCTTCCGCCCACCGACTATATCCCTTATCCCCATACCCCAACCCGCACAATTGTGGCACGCCGTGGCTTTCCACTTATTTTCCACGCCAAGCAGCTTTGTATTTCACCGGGAGCTTGTATTTTTGTTTGGCTTTCCTTTCTCGTCGCTTTTCTTGTACTGTGCTCATTTATTTTTTATGTGTCTTGCACCTGAAACGACACACATTGAGCGCGTTGGGATGCCAGGGGGAGGGGGAAAAGGGATGGAGAGGGAGGGGAGGGAGGGGCAGGGTGAAAAAGGAGGGGTGGAGGCTTGGCATTAAAAATTTAAGTTTTATGTCAATGAATGTCCTCCGTTCCGGCCTTTGTTCGCCGCTTCGACTTACTTTATGGGCATTTTTCACGGTGTTTTCCCCGAGATGTTGATATAATTTAAGACCCAAGTTAAGGCCGGAATTAACATGGAAGTGGCAGTAGGCAAATGGTTGCCAAAAAAATAAATGTGCCCCATCAAACGTGTCTCCGTGCCGGCTTAGGCAAATGATAATTTATTTATAATAGTTTGGGCTTAGGGCTCTGCAACCATAAAAAAGAGGCAACCATAAACACTTTTTAGTTGCCGCCGCATGGAAGTGCCATTCCATCTTTTTGTATTCGCTCATAAACTCATTTTATTCCCAGCACGTGATATTTGTCCACATATGCGAAACTTTATTAGTTGAGCACTCAATGAAAAGGCCATCAAAGAAAACACTCGCCAGGGGCAGCCAAATGTGCGGGGCAAATAAAATTTACAACATCGGCAAACATTTCCCCAATGAATTTGCATTGTCAATCATGCGCTGCTCATTTATTTGCCTTATTTGGTGTTATTTTTTTCAGCAGTTGGCAGCTGCACTTTATGAAACATTTTTACGACTCACTCTGGTTTGATCGGATCAAGTTGAAAAAAGTATATATAAAATGTGATGCCATCAATTGTCATTGATATCCTAGGTCCTAATCTGTCAAGCGGCCTGGGATTTTCGAGTGATTGTGTGTGTGTTTATTCTTGCCACACGCTTAGCCACGGAAAAGCCACATGAATTTATGGCACGAGCTGGCATTTAATATATTTTTCAAAAAGAAGACAGATGCTGAAGTGTCCTTGGGGAACTGCCTCACTTGATTTAGTTTATCCGCACTGATTGTTATTTAGTGACTGGCAAATATTTAGCTCCATAAAGAGCAAAACATTTCGACCGATAAATAGAGGATTTAAATGAAATGCTTTAATTCCACAAACGCCCTATTAAAGTATTCGATAGATAAAACCCAGTGAGGTTATTTTGTAATACCAGTCCGACCACTTAGTTCATACCTAATTAACTGCCATGTCCAACTTATCCGCTCCGGATTTCGCTCGCAGCGCTAATGCAAAATGTATTTTAAATTGGATTAAATGTCAAACGTTTTGACTTTGTGCCAACAATAATTTAGCCTGTTGAATTTTAATGCGATTTTTGGTAATGTAACTTTAGACCGCCAGTCGCAAAACCAACACACACCTGGCCTGTCCGCTACGCTGCATACACATATAAATACCCAAATAGATATATATATATATATATATATAGATAGATAGATGTGTGTGCAGTGATAAGTGCGACCCGTGTGTCAAATGAAAAATCAATACTATTACAGACACAATGCACATATGGGCACTAACATGTGTACAGAGATGTAAATAGCTGGTTGACATTCTGACATCGGCAAAACGAACTGGGAGCCTTCAAATGTGCCCCACGACATTATTAGGTCACTTGTGGCTACATTTTGCGCATACGTATTTGCCACATGGGGAAAAGGGGCAACGAATTTAATTTGCCAGCCCATCGCCATTTCGAAATTATAATAATTGCTAAAATAATCGATTTAGGCCGGAGACCTGACATTGGCTAATGCATATTAAATTACCATAATACAAATGATATCCCGGCCACTCACAGATACACCGAACACACACACGCACACACACACCTACTAACACACAGTGGCCCTCGACACATACATAGCCTGAAAAAGTTGGGTCAACAATGTGAAAGATAAACAATGCCAGCCGCACATGTCTTCGTGTGTATCCGTGTGCAAGGATTCAGACTTACACTCTTACACACACATACACACACACACAAATACAAAGACACATAAGAGCCAAGGAAAACTTGCGACTCAGCTCCTTGCTGTTGTTGTTTCGGGTTTTGTTTCACAATAATAAAGTGCGGCTGCAGCTTTAATAACTTCTGCAGTCAACAAGAGCGACAACAATAACAAACACAGCCCCCGATAGAGACAAAAAAAAACAAAGGGATGAAGGGAGCTCGGAAAAGCTGGGAAAACACACAGAAACTGTGGAGCTGCAGTGGCGAAAGTTCAGCACAGAATGGAGCTGCATTCTAATATGATGGGACCGCAACTAGAAAAGTTGAAAACCCAGTGGCAGCGATGGTAGATGAGTGGTTTTCGGGGGGCATTCAGGGGTTAAGGGGGTCGCCGGGGGGTTAAGGGGGCACCAGGACAGCGTACAATGCCAGGAGACGAATTACATTTGTCGCGCGATGTTTGCACATATTTAAGCAACTTAAGAATTAGCCAACTTAGCTGGAAAATGCAGCTCAAAAATGCTGGCAGCCAATGGTTCGTTATGCGACTCTTAGGCACTTAGAAAAAAGGGTATCAACATTAAAAACAAATAAAATATTTTTGGGAAAAAAGGCGAAATGTGATAAATCAAATTGACTAATAAATTTCCAAATAATAATCATTATTTGATAAATAATGTGCAAATACAATATACCACATTAATTATATAAATGCAATTTAATTTATTTATCTCTTTTCGTAAATAAAAAATGTTTTGACAGGAGAAATATCACCATAAATAGCAGGTATTAATCCTGAATTGCTATTAAATAAGTTACGTTTTGATCTATTTAAATAAAATTGATAGGTGTTGCTTCCGAGTTACAGTGAGCTTTTCAGGAACTCTTCCATTCGGGATAACTCCGGAGCAACCCAATTTGAGTTGCCCGCGCTTTGCAATGCAAAATGGCGGCGCTGCGAAAGTTTTTGCTGCATAATCGCAGGCGCAGCACTTTGGGGCAGGCCAAGCAAAACAAAAGTCGCTTCGAAACGAAGCAGCGAAAGGAGGAAAAAGGGGAGTTGTGAGGAGGGCGAGCAAACTTTGCTGGCACTGCGCATAATGAAGCGACGCAACAGACAAATCCATCTCCGAGTGTGGACAAAAAGTCCGGGTTGGGAATACGGGTCTCGGGTTTCGAGTTTACGGGGCTTGCGGGGTTTGGGGTCCGGGCAAAAGTTTCTGTTGCCAAATGCGAAAAGAATAAGACGCGACGAGCGTCACAGTTTACTTGGCATTTACATTTCCGCTCTGCCGGCTGCCGGCTGCCACCCGAAAGTTGTTTTCCTTCCATCTTTTTTTTTATGATTATTTCAGCTTCATTTTTCATTAAGAGCCAGGCGGCAGTGGCAAAGCCGCAGGACGAGCTGCTGGCCCCCTTGATTTATGCGCATTTCATGAGCACTTCGACGGCAAGGAGGCCGAGAGGCACGTGTCCTTGAGCATTGTTTTTTTGCTAGACAAATGTCCATTAGCCGAGTGGGAAATTTGAACAAGGAAACCATCGCTCCTAGTTTTTGTTATTTCGAGCTTCTTGACTGAGGCATCCTTGAGTCCCAATGCTTTTTGTTGTGTGAGTGTGTGTGTTTTTCAGAAAGTTTTGCCTTTTTATTGAGCTCCGCTCCGTATCGCTTTCCCTATGAATCCTTAATTCGGTTCGATTTTGTAAAGCTTTGCGGCTCACACGACCTGACCTATGACCTCAGCTGCGGCATTTGGCCACCAACAGCTGTCAACGCCCAAATGCCCACGCCCACGCATTAACCTTCGTCCTTTTCCGTCGATTTCGGTTTCGATTTGTAACGAGTATTTATAAGTTTTGTTACGAAAATCTAAATCTATTTCCGTGCGCACATCTGACGCGAATGTAAGTGGAACTCCTGTGGCAAAAATAAATGACAGCCAAATGCTGATGGGAGTGTTATGTAATGAGTTCTCATTTCCATTGCCATTTCCATTTCTATTTCCATGGCTAACCGGGAAACAATGGGCACAATCAATAAATCGTCTCTAGATTCCGGTCACCGAAATCATTTGCTGTTGACCAAATTGAGGTTGCCTGCCATTCTGGCAAAAGAGGAACAGATAGCGAAACAATGTCATTTGATTGAGAAATATTCTCAGGCTGCCTTTGTTTGTGCTCTGACCTGATGAGAAATGATAACCCAGAATTCAGGACAAATTGAAAGGCGAACTTTGTGTGAAAAATGGCAGCGCCGAGGCAGCCTGCTGTTCGGTTTGGAATCGAGGTCTCCTTGAGAGGCACACAATTAGGATAACTTTACCTTTAGCATGGCCATCAAACTTTATTAAATCCCATTCATTTTGCTTCTCCTTGCAGGCTGCAAAAGCGAGACAAAGCCGAGTTTAATGAGCTGGCTGCAGCAGGAACACATGAGACAGCCGCAGCACTTGTCCCTGGCCAACGGATCGAGCCAACTATTAATGGCAACAGGCTGGAAGTTTATGCGAAAACTTTCTGAAAGTAATACGCAGAGAAAACACAGAACGAGCTAAGTCCCATCAAGCAACAATAAACGGGAAAGAGCGGTGGGGAGAAGCGCTTAAATCAGCACAAGTACCAAAAGAAACCGCCGAGCGAGCAGAAGAAGCGCAGAAAAGTTTTCCCAGCATTCCGGATTTCCATTCGCCGAGCATCGGCATCGGCAACATCGTCATCATCATCGCCATAGTCATCGTCATCGTCCCCCGGCTTTGTTATTGTTTCGCCAAGGATTACATATTATGCGATAAACATGAAATACACAAGCGATACACGAATCATTGTGTTCATTTGCTGCCTGCTGCAAGGTAAGTGCAAAAGTGTTCAATGCCATTTGGCTTTGGCTTTAGCTTCGGCTTCGGCTTTGGCTTTGGCTTTTTCCCCAGCATTTCCAGTTCAATGCCTGCGCGTGTCGACACCTTGCCAGTCAATAAAAAGCAAATTGTAACTGCTCGACAAAGTCACTTGTGGCGTTTTAACACCCAAACGCACATATGTAACGCCGTGTGCGTGTTGGCAGCCCAAAAAAGGGCATAACCGCCCACTAATCCCCCCAACATACATACATTTCCGAGCCCGGGCAACCAACTCCATCCACTCAACCCACTCGGCCGCCCCCTTTGAATCCCCGCTGACGACCCGCTCGTTTCACTTATTTCAGTTATTTTTCTTGTGTGTGCCGCATGCGGAGCGCATACAAATGAGTGGGCCACAACCCCGGGATGGCCCGGCAATTTTCGCTTTATTTTAAATAAACATGATAATTTTTTTAATAGAATTTCCCAGGGCTTAATGTGTGCGCAGGTTTTCAGCGAAGGCCTCACTGGCTGACTGGCTGCCTGGCTGCCTGCTGAGTGAGCTGTCAATTTGCGTGTGTGGGCCGAAGTTAGCTCCATTTCCATTTCCATTCGCATATGCATCTGCGTCTGTCAGGTGCAGCGAAAGTATGAACGTGACTTGCCAAGCGCATTTGTTCGGCTCCGCAGTTTTGCAGCTGCTTTTCTGGATGCCAGCTGCATGTTGTTAACCCCCCGGGGAAATCACTCACACGTATTAAACGCTAGTGACGCACGAATGAATGGAGCGGGATGGCAAGGCGGGGACCCGCCATAAATTCCATTTCATTTTGCAAATATGTAATCGCACCTAGAGTGCCAAAACACGGCAATCGATTTCCGAAGGCCAAAATGCAGACGCTCGCGATTCGCACAGCAGAAATAATAAGGGAAAACTCGGGCAAATTGTTTGTGGAACGTGAGGTTGTCGCCTTGCGACAGCTTCTTGCCAATATTCCAATATTCCTTGAATTTCATTCGACTTTAAGTGGCCAGAAATGAGTAGCAGCCATGTGATCAAATATTGCGCATACGCCGTGTGGAACGACAGTTTACATGTTGCGCCGTTTGCATTCCTCCATTGTTATTCCTCGTTTCAATTACACGCCAGCTCAGCAACTGCTTGTTCCCCCCTCCGAATCTTCCCTTTTCCATTTCCATTTCCCTTTGGCTTGGCCGCTTTTCCGCTTTTCTTTTTCCTCCCCTTCCCTGTTGGCTCATCACCTGCGGTTATTTTGATTTTAATTTGCTCGTTTCTCGCTCGTCAGTTGCTGTCGCTGTTGCTCGTGTTGTTTCTATTTTATTCATAAATGTTTTGTTGGCTGTCTCACCATTTCTCACACACACAAACACACACATGCACTTGGCATGTGTGGTAGTTTGCCTTGTCAGTGTCGCTTTGCCTGGAGTGGCCATTTTGTCTGCCAGAGTGTGAGACTGTGTGTGTGTTAGTATGTGTGTGTGTATGCGGGGATTTGCGCCAGATTTGTGTCAACTTGAATACATCAGAAGCGCTTGAACAGATTTGCATGCTGTTTCTGTTTTTTGTTGCTGCTGTCGTTGTTGTGGTGGTCTGTTGTTGTTGTTGTTGTTGTCGACACAACAACAAAATGTGCACACGCAATCGCGCAGCGGCAACGGGGCGTATGAGTACTCTCGCCTTCGCTCAGCGAGCCTTTCAAAACTGTTGCATACTTTTTTGCGCCGCATTGTTCTCGTTTGTTTGCCCGTTCGCAAGGATAGCCTTTTGTTGTTGCTCGGTTACTGCGCAAACTAAACTAAAACTATCCCAAAGGCTTTTTTCATTACTATTTCGTCTAGGTCTTTTCTCGCACTCCCCCCCCCTCCTCCACTCCTCCACTCTTTATTTTTTTTTTCGCCTCCACTTGCATTACGCTCTCGCTGTTTTTTTAAATATAATTGTTTGCGTATTTAGCACAAGGCCAAACGCTCGGCCACCACCGTCCACCCACCAATTCGTGGCCGCAGTAATTGTTTTTTAAACGCATTTAATGAACAACATTAAGCGGAGTTTAAGCTGTCAATGCCACAATAAATATTCATCAGACCGCAGGGGAAACGGTCGAAAAAAATAAAAAAAGAGAGAACTGTGCGAAGGAAAAGCGAACGTCAGAGTTTTTAATGAAGTCTAGACACCACAAATAAGAAATGCGGCCTTAATGAGCCGCCGCACCAACTTGGCTGGCAGCCCACTATCAATGGCAGCCGCCCGTTTCTGCTGTTGTCTTCCAGTTTTTTGACACTTTTCGGCAACTTTTTGGCGGGCCGCAACCTATCGCATTGTCTGCCTCAAGCTCCAGGTTCAAGCCAACAAAATGTTCGCGCAAAATGATTTACCAGATAGCAAAGTTTCGCCGGCCTCCTCGAAACGGGCCGCATAATTGCTGCCAAGGCGCAAACTCATTAGTGGTGTAAAGTTAAGGGGTCCACATCCACCCAATCCCACTCCCACTCCTCCCATTCTCCACGGCGATTCGGCCATCATTGATAGCAACTAAGCTGCTACAACCGATTTTTGTTGCCAGCTTTATCTCCTAATGGCGGCCTTCATTATGCGCTATTTGGCAACGCACAGTGGGTCAGTTTACCTTCAGCCACCTTACCTTACCACCTTGCCACCCTTCCTTTTTCCGTTTCTGGCGCTCTGGCGTTCTGGATCCTCCTTTGTTTGTCTTTCTACTTTTCACTTTCCACTTGCCTGTCCTTCGGTTCGGTTCGTTTCGCTTTCCTCCCCCCTTTTTTCCTACCCCGCGTTCTGTTTGCCAATTTTATCGAATTATGCTAAACACCAGAAAAGTTGGAGGACCGGAGGACTTATTTAACCTGCAGGTGAGCCGGGGGGAGGCAGCTTGAGTGGGTGGATCGCCCTGTTTAAATATGCGTTAATGAACGAAATTATCATGCATACTGAATGATGCCCCCTCCCATCCCCTGCCTTTTCCACCCCCTCCCTCATCCTCCGCCACTCGAGCTTATGCATATTCAATTTACATCAAGTGCGCCGCGTTGCTTTGCGGATACTTTACATACTAATTTAAATATGGAACTTTATTTTAGCAAGTTTCGTGGGAAAGAGGAGTGAGGGGGGAGCAAGCGATAGTCAAGTGGAGTGGGGGGCATTTGATAGGAAAGACAGTTTGAACTTTTGCTCTTTTGGCAAGCGCTATTGTTGTCTTTGCCTTGAGATACAGTGGCTGAATGTGGGTAAATGCATACTTAAAATTCAATTTCAAAAGTTTTTCAATGCTAGAGAAATAAATATAAACCTCACTCTACCTTAATTAATTTTAACTAGACTTAGCTGCAGTTCAAAGGTTCATTTATCTGCTTTTAAATTCACTTTGCCAGACAGAGAAAGCCACATACGAGCGCTAATTTTCATACATAAGCTCTCATAATCCTTGATTACCGCTCAGAATCCTGGCGCAGATCCCCTTTTTGTGGGGAAAGGCCACTTTCGCTCGCAGCGATGCACTTAGACAATGTTGAAGCGCTGCGCTCTTGGCATGTTTACGAGTTGAATGTGTGTTTTTCCACAGACTCATTGAAATGGAATCCCATTCGGGGCACATCAACTTGTAATTTAATTTCGGATCTGAATGTAAGCTTCCGCCGCCGCTGCTGCCGACTTGGCTCTTATCAATGCATTCAAGGATTGTTGCCTTGGGGCGGGAAAAAGCTGTCATTTCCCTCGGCTAAAATTCTTTGCAGCCAGCCAGCCGCCCTGCAGGCAATTTTAATCAGCTCTCAGGCAACTTTCACCCATTGTTTGCTCCTTTCCATGCGATCCTGATACAGGCAGCTTTTTCGACCTCTCTGTGAGTTGTTGTTGTTGTTGTTGTTCTTCCGATAGGACTTTGCTGTTTTTTAATTAACATTAAGACACTTTGTAGCCCGTTGCCCAAATGACATGTGTTGTCTGCTGTTGGCTGCTGGCTGTTCGCAGGTTGCTTTGTCTTCGCCAGTATCGCATCTGCTGGCGGCTTCTTCTGGCCTTTGTTTTTCCAGCAAGCGGCTTAATTTCATTAAGCCCATTCCCAGACTGACGTCAGCAGGTGGGCGTGGCACCAAGCGGACGCGGACGCACCTCCGCTCGTCCATCAAAGTCGCTGTCATAAAAATTGGCCAATTAAACAGCGTGTGCTGCCGCTGAAGCCCACGCCTGGTACTTCAAATTCAGCGCTAATTAATGGCCAAATGTAATTAGTTCGAAAAAAAAATGCGTAGGCAACACGTTAAAATAACACAATCCAAAAATTAAATACATTTTTTTATTTAGATTCCCCCAAAAATGTTTTATCATTATCCCTCGCTAAAGTTTACCTACCACTCATCAATTTATCAGATAAAGGACGACCTCGTGACAAAATAAAAGCAATCTATTTTGCTCCGTAAGTAAATACGAGTTGGACGAATCAAAACCGCATCCGCATCCACATCCGCATTGGCATCCGCATGGAAGAGCCCTGCCAATTCAATCAGCCTGAGATCAGGGAGCTGGGAATCGCAAAAGTTTCCACTGCAGCTGCAATGGAAAAGTTTTGCTCGCCAAGTCCCAGATCAGAGACTGTCAATCTGTTTAATCCCATTCAATTGCTGACGTCTTTAAACGGCTGCCAAAGTTTTGCCAGCTGCCAATGGCAGTGCCAATGGCCAATTAGCCGACAGACCAGCGCCCCTAATGGCCAGATATTTAAATATTTATGACGACTGCGATTCTAATTTAACGCTGGCTGAGCACCAGATTCGCTGAAATAAACCGCTAAACAGCGCATTTGTTCTGCGGGTTGAATGACAGCCGGGAAGTGTATGAACGGCCAATATCCTGTCCTGTTCGCTGTCCTTCGGCCTTCGGCGGAGCTTCATAACTCGTGGTCCTTGCGCTCGGCGGTGCTGTAATTTCACAAAGGATTAAGCCCGATTACACACTCATTTATTAATATTTACGAGCCGCCCGACACGGGATAACAGATAGCCTGGCCGCCAGGACAATGGCGATGCCACCTGCCACAATTTATCCCGCCTCCCCCCCTTTCCGCCAGCATATTCCAGAATTGCTACTCATAAATAAGCAATTGACGATCAAACCGTGGGTCCTTTTTAATTAAAACAATAATTGTTTGTGCTGTCCTGGCAGCCGGCCAGGAGTTGGTGTAGTGGCGGTGTTGGTCGGTCTAGTCCGGAGGACAAATCAATTATGCAAATACTTGGCCAACGCGGGCAGGCAGGCGGAAAATTTGCGTCGTCATGAGCAACAAAAGTTGAGTCGTCTTGACGGGCACGGAAAATGCGGGAAATATTTTAATTTTCCTCTGGCCTTGTGTTGCGACTAGCGTAATCCTTGGTGAGTGCCAGCGGATCCTCTGAACTCTGTCCTCGCAGCTCCTGCTCGCCATCACTCCACATCCTGTGCGCCCCTTTTCTTATGCAAATATGCGCTCCATGTCCCCGGGCGACTTGCCAGTTTATTGATTTCCCTGTCTCGCTGATTTCAATATTTGTCCTCCTCATCTCTTGCCGAAGAGAAAATTATTTTGATATTTTTGGACAATATTTTCGCTTGATTGGTGGCACCTTTCTTAATTTCTGTTGAAATGTGACCCAAATCTTTTGGGTTTATAACTGGTCGTATTTATAAATTAAATAAATGCCATCCTCGTTGGGATTAAATGATTTTTGGCCTTTTTGCGAATGAAAAAGAACAACATCGAACTTTCAAAAAAATTCTAACGGACCCCTGCATGCTTGCAACTTTTTTTTAAAGGCATACAACGTGAAAGAAAATACATAAAAAATCGAAAAATCAGTTTTGCAAAAATATAAATTAATTCCTGATAGCTTTTAAATACATGATATATTTTTATTTTTTATTACAGGACTGGCAGTGGGTCTCCGCATGATCAAGGTCTCCATTCCCGCGTACAAGCTGCGCGGGGAGTCGGCCTTCCTGGAGTGCCAGTACGAGCTGAACCGGACGCACCACGCGGTGACGGGTGTGCAGAGCCACTCGGACCATCCCCACGGGCACCAGACCCACGGCGGTGGCAACGGGGAGTTCCACTATCCGGACGGCGAGGCGCTGGAGGAGGAGCGCTCCCCATACCGCTCCCGGATGCGCCAGAACCAAAGGCAACATGGCCAGCGGCCGCGGCAAAGGGAACCGGTTGCCATGCGGCAGTACCAGAGCCACCAGCAGTTGCCCGCTCCGCCGGAGAAGTCACCCTACGGACACAGTGTCTACCGGGGCAGTGCGGCCTCCGGTTATCTGGGAGCAGCTCATGTGGGTGCCAGCACACACAGCGGATCCGTGTCCGTGGGCTCCAATTCGAATGGCGGACCGGCGGCCTACATGCCGGAGTTCGATCGGACGGACAGCTTCGACGACAGCATCGATCGGGAGGAGGACGAGGAGGAGGAGGAGGAGGAGCCGCTCGAGGAGGGGGAGGCCCTGTACGCCATCAAGTGGTACAAGGACAACGAGGAGTTCTACCGCTACGTGCCAAAGGCTCGACCTCCAAAAACCAGTTATCGTGTCGACGGTGTTCGCGTCATTGTGAGTCCACTTTAAATATTTCATTTAGTAAAAAAATATTCCGTTTCATTTAAATTATTTTTCTAAACTGTATGTTTGGTATGTGATGCAATAAAATATCATTGACCTATATAAATGTTTGTTTTTTATAATTGTTCAAATTCCCGTACATAAAATATCAATGTCAAAAGTATACAAACTAACTACATTTTCAAGTTTTTTCTCTCTATTTTAATTAACAATTCAATTCAATTTAAAATGCGTTCCTGAAAACGTAGCTAGCAGAAACATTGTAGATATTTATTGTATCGCTTTCGTTTACATATCATACAATTTAAAATCAATAACACTGTTCTAAAATGCAGGCTTTGTTCGTTTTTTCCTCTTTTTTTTCTCTGCGTACATTGTGCAATTTGTCCTATTGTTTACTTATGCTAATTTTTCCCCGTTTTCCATTGCAGGAGGAGCTCTCGGACGCGAGTCGCGTTTTGCTGCGCGGATTGACGCTCAATTCGACTGGATTGTACCGCTGCGAGGTGTCCGCCGAGGCGCCCAACTTCTCGTCCGTTCAGGGCGAGGGTCGGATGGACATTGTCTGTAAGTGCCCCCCAATGCCAATCTATTCAGAGTCACGTTCCGCATTTGCCTGCTTGATTTTATTATATTTGTTGCACCCCGCAAGCAGCACACAACCGAGCAAATGTTTGCTCGAAAAATTTCACATCAATTACAGGCAAATATTGTGAGTGCAAATACAGGACAAATGTGCAGGAAGGGGGAACAGGGGGAAATGCAGGATCCGATTTTAAATCTGCATCCCTTGCTCCACTCATTGGCATCAAACAGCCGGAGCTTATTTGCTTATTTGCTCGACAGCACTCCGATACAGACGGCATGGAAATGTGAATAGTATTCATGGATTGGCTCACAGATTTTTGATACAATCTGCAAGGAATTTCAATAAGCGGCTAAAGACTCACAAAGTTTCAATAAATGCTAGAGAGCGAATTGATACGGAATTTTAATGAAAATAGTTTATATAAATAACCCAAATACGATTTTAATATGCCAATGAATGAAATGCAAATTAAACTCAACCTCTTATCCTGATTGAACAATGATAAACTTGCAGAGAGCGGAGAAATCCCTTCCCAATCAAAACCACTCCCACTTCGACATTCGATTCGACTCGCCATGTATTCTATTATTTTTGGTAAAAGCTTTAGCTGTTTTAAATCGAATATTTAAAAGCCTTTCCGTTATGCTGTTTACCATTTCTGCGGTCCATTTTCCGCCACAAGCTCACCCACATATACAGCCACATATATTTGGTATACATATATATTCTGAATCGGATCGAGTTCATTTTTGCAGCTTCTGCCGGTTTTCGCTTTTGGTCGACTAATGCGACTGCCGCTGTTGTTTGTTTGGGTTTCTTTATCGGGCTCGGAGGGCGGAAATGCTTTTAAAAAGTCATTCATAAGCTTTAGTTTCATAACAGCATATTTTTGTAATCCAAGCCGGGTCCCTGCATTTTTTAACGCTTTACACACGCGCTAAACTTTCCTACTCGCTTTTACCCGACCCGTGTATTTTTTTTCACTATTTTTATTTACTTAAAACCAAATGGCCAACGGCAAAAGGGAATTTATAAAAACGGTATGGGCCACGGCGTAGACTGGCAAAGGGGGAAGTGCGGGGAACACACTGGCGATTTATAAGTTAAAATGCCATTTTAATGGATATTTCCGCAGTCTGGCCGCTTACAACATATTTTGTGTAGCCCAGAACATTCAGAACACCCAGAGCACAGCCCCCTCAATCCTCTTTGAAATTGCAGTTTGTTGCTGTTGGTTTATCTGTGTGTTTTATGTTCTATTTGAGCAGCGAAAAAATATTTATTTGTATATCCCATTGAATTCGTCTGTAGGGAGGGATGTCCCCCAAAAACGAAGTGTGTGTGTGTGAGCGGGGTAAATATTTGCCGGGCAAAGCAACCAAAAAAAAAAAAGTTAATAAATTACTCGAAAGGGGCGAAAGCCGCAGCAAATATTTATTGGCGACTGGCTGGGGGCTTTTGGCCCTTTTGCATGTTGCGAATGGCGAACGAAGGGAGTTCAAAGCTGCAGAAGACACCATCAAGGGGGATAATATCGAGCATTAATCCCCCATTTTATTTATGCAAATCGTGTATTCATAATTGATGTATGTATGCCTTATCCCGCTCCATTTCAGTTCTGCCCCGCGATGGACCACACATCCGAGGACAACAGTATCAGTACCAGATCGGCGAATACTTGTATTTAAATTGCACATCCGGCAAATCGCATCCGGCCTCCCATCTGCAGTGGTTCGTCAACGAGCAGCCGGTGAGTTTGTTAACACCGAATTTATTTTTTCCCAAACCTCTTTCGCAAATAAAACGTAACAAAGGTTACCCTTTTTTTTTGAGGGGGGAACCTAAACGGTCCTTCGCGCTAATCAAGAGCAGCAGCAGGGAGAAATGTAGAAATTATGCATACAGTAAATATTTAAGCCTCTAACAACGCGGCAGACAGCGAAGAGTAGAGCCCCGGGAAAAGTGGGAAAACGGACTCAGCTGGGCAGGTTGTTGAAATTATTTCATGAACCAAAATCATGTCGACGGGCAGGCTTCGAATACATTTTTCGGGCTTTCTTCCCTTCGCGCTCTCTTGCTCTTGGCTTTAGCATGTTTTATGGCCCGATGTTTGGGGGCCTGGAAACCGGCAGGTATTTCGGGTGGGAGGAGGATCTGGGTCTGGAGTTTGGGGGTCTAAAACTGGGACTGGGCCATCCATCTGGCCGAAAGCTCGTTACATGTCTGCCGTGGCCGGAACACAAAAATCGAGAGGCGAACGGCGAAAGGCGAGAGCGGCGTGTGGGTGGTGGTGCATTGCATTTTATCGTCGACGCCGACTACATGGCACTCAAATTGTGTGAATCGAGGCGTTAAGGTACGAGTTAGTTCATTGTACCATGCTGACTTCCCCTCCTCGATTCAGATTCAGAGGGTTCGTGCCTCTCGTTCGCCTTGTATAAATACGAGAAAAATCAATAAGTGCGATTAGGCACGATTCCCGGTTTATTTGCCTTCCAACAATGGCAGCTGGAAACATCCCCCTTTTCTTTTCATTTTTTTTTTTTTTTTGCTCTTGTTTCCCTGAATAATGAAGACCCCTATCCGCATCCGTCAAACGTGTACGAGCGGTCGGGGAGAACAATGAAACGCTGGATCGCTTATTTTATAACATTTGTCCTGCCATACAAACATACTAGCTGCCCTGCAAGGCATTCGTGCAATTTACAATAAAAGTGTCCATCAGCGCGGCACAAATATTTCGGCTATTCTACGAAAAACTTATAATACAACAGCTTTGGCCGGGCCGCAAAATGTGTAGATAAATAAATTTTTGGCGGCATCTTGGGGGAAAGTTTGCTGGAATGCGTCGGGCATTCTAAGTGCCCTCATTTTATTGCCGGACCTCCTTGTTTTCCTATTTCCCATTTCGCGTGGGGCTGGTCAGGACAGCTGACGGCATTTTCAGCATGTTTGTTGTGTCAGCAGGGATCCGGAATTGGAATCGGACCTCGCAGTTTTAATTTATGCCTTTTAAAGTTTAAAGCGAGGCACAATGGGGGAGGAGAGGTTTGGGAGGAAACCAATCGCCAAACAAATGGCAACAATTTCGCTGGCAAAGTGCTAACCAATCCGCCCGCTCCCCGAAAACGTCGAAAACCCCGAGGACAGACCGAATTCGAATTCCCATTCCGATTACCCTCACAGAACCCAATTTCGAAGCAAATCGAAAAAAAGCAGCAGGGAAAAGTTCAAGTTATTTATTTGAGCGTTTCACATTTTTTATCAGGTCTGCACATTTTTCTTATTTATGGCAAATGATTTTATTTCTTTTCAAGCCAAGTTTAAGTGCGGCACTACCACCTACTCTCCTCTTCCCTTTGCCCAGCCAGTTCATTTGTCCGTAACCCCTTCCCCTTTTCCATTTCCACTTCCGCCCCTCGAGAAGGCAGTGCACTTTGCTGACAGCAGCAAACACTGAAAGGGAGGAATTATCAAGCTCTCGTAATTGTAACCTTCAGCGAAGTCGGAGACGGAGACTGTGACTCCAACTCCAAATCCAGCTGCGAACACAAAAGCGTCCCCTCAAGCATTTGCCAGACATGTACCAGACACGCCCATCGACAATCCCGTTTCCGTTGCGTTACGTTGCGTTGCGTTGCTCATACGCCGCGTGTGCCAGCCCCAGCACTTGATGGCAGGAAACTCCCGATGTAGACTTTTAATTCCGTTCCTACACCGCGCGCAAGTCCGTAAATTACAAAAAAATAGCTTAAAGGTTAAAAATAGGAGCAGTGAAACATTTTAGAATTCTTTCTTCAAGCAGAACTGTTGTAAATAAATTGATTGTTATTTATCGTATGTTTACAATCTCCTATTTCAAATAGGTATATCTCAAAGATTTACCATAGAATCTAATACTAATTTGACACTTATTGATTTCAAGCTATTATTGCTCAGCAATTTGCGAAGCTTGAGTACTTTATGGTTGACATAAATTCAAGAAGACAGAAGCCAAGCATGCAACTGTCGAAATTTATATCTGACAATCATTGTAGACAATAGTTACCAAGATGTTCATTCATTAAATAATAACAAACATTTTACTCTGCAACTCTCAGGAGAAAGTCTAAATCAAATTAAACAGGAATAGTAGAATGAATAATTATATCGTTTATATAAAGTACGATATCAGTTATGGGTTATGTTTATTAGGGAGACATTTACCTCTTAACACCGTTCCGCTCAGTGCAGCATTTAAGCCCCCCATTCATGGACTCCTTTCAGATCCTCGACGAGCACTACCTGCACAAATACAACGACATCGTGCACAAACACGGGCTAATCACCTCGACCCTGGGCCTCCAGCTGCCGCTGGAGCCGCGTCACTTCCACGACGGCGACATGCGCGTCAAGTGCCTGGCCAGCATATCGCCGGTGCTGTGGAAGGGTGGCAAGGAGAGTGTCCTGCAGCGGCGGCCGGGGATCATCGACAACCGCGAGGCCATGTTGCTGGGTGAGTGACCTTTTAGCCAAACCCCTCTAGCCAAACAAGTCCCTACTAATTCGATTCTCCGCAGTGAAAGGTGCAGCTGGAAGGGCGCAGAGCAGCTGGCTCCGAACGCTGACAATCGCCATCATTCTGGCCAGGATTGGCCAGTGGCTTCTTGGCTCGGAGCTGACCTAAGCTAATGCAAGTTTCCAGGATTCGTTCCACTCGTTTCAATTAACAAGCATTCATTTCAATTCAATTCAATTCAATTGCAATTGCAGAGCATAAATGGTGATTTTGTATACTTTAAGTGTAATATCCTTAGTTCTTAAGTAAGAAAACGGAGCAAGCGAAGGGAAATGAAAAACAAACAAATTGGGTAAATGTGTTATAGCATGTAAAAATCGTTAAGGAACGCGGATGAAAAGAGTTGAATAGTATTAAAGATAGAGGGGAAAACTCGCTTTCCCCTTTCAGAGAACTCCTGTGCAGAGGGAAACACTCGGAAAATTCAATTAGCTAAATTGTTAAGTAACTAAATTCGAATCCCAAACCATATATATGACATATCCCCCGCCCATCGTCCCCAATCAAGCCCAGCTAAGGGTTCGTTGTGCGTAATTTCTGTGTAAATACTTGAATGGAACGACAAAGTCTAGGGCAAACTTTGGACTTTTGTCAAATAACGTCTGAGTGGCATCAATTTCGAAATGGTAGCTGGAAACTTTGCCATAACAGATGCTAAAACTACATAATTGCAAAAAACAAAAACAAAAAACAATGGGGGAAAACGTTGGCTGGAAATGTTCTCTTTTCCCCCTTTTAGTTGCGATTCCGGCAAGTATTTGCTTCCTGACTCCGAAAGTATTTCCAATTGTATTTAGTTTTGTAAATTAAGTCGGTAATGGAGAAGGGAACTCAAAGCGAAATTATATTGTTGAAGGATTACCAATTACTGATAACTCTCCGGCTGGAGTTGAGACATCTTAGGTTGCCGCACATCCTAGACATATGAACTGTATAAAAGAGAACCTGGATATGTGTCATATCTGTGTATTAATAAGAACCTTTGCTAAACTAGAACTTTAAGCTAGGTGTTTAAGTTGTAGCCGAAGTGTCCCCTCCTCAGAAAAGATTCCCCCTAACTGTATGTAGAAATACCTAAGGATAAAAGCTCTCGAAGGATATAACTACTATATATGACGATATGTATATGTATACAATAATTGAGTACGACAAGACCCCTTTTCTCCCCATCCCCCCAACAGAGTGTTTAAACAAATATAAATGTGAAAGCAATCCACGAGTTGTCTTCTTATTTTCCTCGCTGTTTTAACTTCAGATTCCCATAGAGATACGCAACCGGATGCGGAAACGTTATCTGCTACACGCACACGGGCCGAAACAGCAGACATTAACACCTGAAGGACCAAAGTTCCACCACCACCCCCCTCCCCCTCTCCATTTGCTCTTCCCCCTTTTGCAGAGGTGTTAAAATCGTGGTTGCCTCTGCAGCGCCAACAAAGAAGATACAAAAAATTATATATATAGAACATAAAAGCGGCAAAGTTAAAATAACACGTACAAATTTTGTATGCAAACAAACCGCAGCACACACGCCCACACACTCACACATACATTCACACACCATTGCAAAAGCATACCGGTGCACACACATATGTACAGATACACGTACATAGAGGCACGCACGGAATGGCGGCGAAATGAAAAAATTGCGTGCAGCCTTTTAGGCGCTGCCGGCGAACACAACTCGGTTCGCTTTTATATGCCATTGTAGCCGCTCTTCTTGTTCTTCTTGGCCAACATTTTGATGGCGCACTAAACTTTATGCGCGGCACATAAATAGAAATGCACGCAAAAAACTTTCACAAAGCTAGAACCGAAATAAAAACAGCGGAGCCACAAGAGCGGTTGGCTTTATTTTTTTGTTTGCCTGGTGGTGGGGGTGTGGAAACGGAGGAAGGTAAAGGGGGGAAAGGGCAAACCGAAGGGCGGTCACACGCAAATTGTTCGGGTCAGAGTGGAATTCATGCGTGGCCCGCGGCAATTCAAGCGATCTGTTTACCTTGGGTAAACCACCTTTAAACCCACCAACCAAACGGTCAACCTCCCACACGTGGGTCAATCTAATCTGCTTCTGCTCCTGCTTCTGCTCCTGCACTTGGCCAGTTGGCCAAGATTTATGTGTGCCTTGCATTGCATAAGCGGCGCCATTTAAATGTCTGGGTTTAATTTGCTACACCAAGAGAATAATATTATATTACCAAAACCGAATTCAAGATTCAGTTACAAATCTAAGTTTTTGATCCTAAAAATTTATTTACAAAATTTAAATTTTTTTCAGGGGTATCAACATATATTATCGATATTATATATATATTTTTTTTCACAAAAAAATTAACTTTTGTTTGTTCGAATCATATCTTAAAAAATTCGATATCTGCTTTCATGTTTAATTTGAACGTTATAAAATGACGACGTGACCTTTGATATCTGTAGGCACAATCTTACAACATTCAATAAATTTTAAAATGAATTGCTCTTTCTCTGTAGCCAAATACAACAAATCAGCCATCATATGTTCAGGGTTGTCGGGCTATGGGCGTGGCCAGTCGGGGAAAGAAAAATTTATTGCCAGCGATTGCATAGCTGATAAATTTAGTTTGCACTTAACTGGGTGCGCCAGAGCCTCACAGCGATGGTGTTGGAAATTATGACGCGTCAATTGGCGGGGGCAGACTGCTGCCCAAGCACTCCACCACCCAACCACCCAGCCACCCCACCATCCAACCGCCCAACCAAATAAGCACCTAGCGAGCTAGCCACCCAACCACCCAGTTCAGCAACCCGGGCAAATGGGTGCGTGCGGAAGTGGCTGACTAAATTGCAGCGGGCTAAAACAACAATTGCTTTTGATTTAAGTTGCATTAAATTAGTTTCCACACGGCGGCTGATTAATGAGTGCAGCGAACTTTCTGACAGCGCCAAGTTGCCGCCCAGGAAGTGGGCGTGGCAGGGGCCGAAAGGAAAGGCGGCAGACACTTAATCAAAAAAACGCTGCGCTGAAAGAAGGTGATCAGTGGGCACTTGGCAGATGGCAATTTATGACCGGCCAAAGGTGAAATTTTAAGTAAATAATTTTGCGGAAATTTTTCCGGTTGAAATCTGCAGTGATTTTGGCCGGGGCACAAAAAGGTTAAAGCACTGTCCATGCATTGCCATGCATAATTTATTACGCCACTCCCGATGCCTGTTAAAAAGGCAAATCAAAATGCACTTTATTGCACAACGAGCGAGTCGGAATGAAGAAAAATAATATGCCATTGCCATCATTTTCTCGTCGATTGAAATGCAGAAATGAAATCTCTGGAACGCCAGTGGGTGGTCGATTGGGCGGCTTGACCACTTTGGCCATTTGCATAATATTGATTCCATTTGCCAGCTTCGTAGCCATCGAACACGGGCCGTAATGTCATTTCGAGTGTTCGATGGCCGCCCACGACGAACCATCGCCATTGCGCTCGCCATCGAATCACATCAACATCCTTGACATGGCCTATACAAATAAATTCCGGCCAACGAATTGGGTAAATGGAATTCCCCCCGAACCGCACAAGCATATGAAAGTCATGAGCCACCACAATCAGAAGAGCCGCACTTGAGTTGCCCGGCTGGACGGCTGGAAATTATGCAAATTGCAACGGAGGCTGATGAACTGCCGCCTCGAACGGCTTCCAATAGAAAAACGCATTTGGCCCGATGTTCCCTAATTAAGAGAGCCATGGCCCGGACATCGAAAAACGGAACGATAAATGCTAAAATGAGAGCTGTCAGTTGCAGGGGACTTGACTCTAACCGAAACGAACCGCTTGTAATGAGGTTGTGCTCTCGAAATTCCCCAAAAACCGGAATCGAGTAGGCTTCGTAGTCTTCGCAGAGGTTGCATATGCCACGATGATCTTGCAACGGGGTGTTCATCCAATCCATTCGACCACCCGCAACTGGTGACATTTGCATGCGAAACTGGCTCGTTACGTTATGAATACCGAATACCGAATTCCGGAATACTAGAGTTTCGAGAGGCTGGCGCTCGATGACCCAAGAGGAGGTCAGCTGGAAAGTGCAGTGGGTCGCCTGTTTACGGCCCAAATTAGTGGTCGAATGAGGCACTTTGCGTCGCGTCTCTCTCACTCGATGGTTGCGATGGACATGCTCATTCTGGCCGAGTTGAGTTGAGCTGAGCTGTTGCCTCGCGGATATTAAGCCTTTGATTGATGGCCGCGAAATGTGGTAATAGTTTTCGTTTGGAAGCAGCGGTGGGGTGTTCGCTGTTTCAATTAGCCCACAACCAGATGGTCGGCGGGGTTGGTTGGCCTCGTTCCAACTGATGTTGGTGGTGGTGGGGGGTTCGACTGCACAAAGGCATCCACATAAAGTGGTTACAAGTATGCGGCAATTAGCATTTAACGAGCACCACATGCCAGCCACAATGGCATGACACGGCCCAGGACAAGGCGGTGTCCTCGGACACAGGAAGGGGTCTCTGTCGACATAATAATATACACACAACTACAACTACAGCAACAACTACAACTTGAACACCCACAACACCCCCAACTCACACAACATTGGCAACAACAGAGCTCCTCGTGGGACAATGTCATCGACAAAATACAAGGGGCCGCCAGCAGAAAACTCTTTTGTTTTCCCAGTCAACAATTTGTGCTCCCTCCCTGCTCAAATCCGGCCACGCCCCCTTAGGCTGGCCACTCCGCCCCCCTGAAATCCTGATTACTTAACTAAATATGGCAGCTTATGGCGGGACACGGCCAGTGGCCAGTGGCACTAAACTCTCTGATTTACACGATTTGCATACATTCGGCCAGGGGCGAAACTTTCGAGCCGAGTGCAGTGCCTGGCTTTAATTAGCAGTCGCGGCTTTTATCAGCCAGCAGCTGTCCACCTGACCCACGGAATATCAAATGAAGGCCGGCACAATAGCCAGAAACATTGCTGCCGTTGCCGAAGGATTTCTGTTTCATTAAAAACACAAAGGCGGCTTTTCTCCGGTTAACTAAAGCTAGATCTTAACGTTTACAAGTGGGATAACATTATGTTTGGTGTTCCCATGTTTCATGCAAGTCATGCCATTATCCTTTAAGGAATATAGTTTGTGTTTTTTATTAAGTTTTTTAGCTGATTCTAGAAATACATTTAGTTTCACTATTCCAGTGCAACACCCCTTAAATAAATCTACATTTTTTCCAACCTAAATCTAAATCTAGAAAGTGAAAACCCCTTAATTAAGTTTTTTGTGGCCCAAAATAAAAGTTTCCTTTGTGTCCTACTTGGAGCCCAGTCCTTTGGCGAGTTCATTAGCATGTCGCGTCTTCAATAATAACTCAGGGCAAAGACAGGCCAAGGCCCTGGGATCCGTGCTCTTATCAGTGTACTCTTATCTGGGATACATAAATTCCAGCCTCGACTTGGCGTCGGCAAAGTTTCCCGGGGTTTCTTTTCGGAGGAGGATGGCACTCTCTACCTCCAATTCGAGGTGGTTGGGCGCTAATTAAGACACGCAAAGTGCGGCGCTAAGACAAATGGTTCCGTGGCACGTAAGCGGCGCGTCAATCTTGGCCAAGGGCTATGGAACTTGGGCCACGGGACGCGTCTTTCTCGCCAACCACGTTGCCCGCAGGCTCAGACACTTTCTCAGACTTTGGACATGTTTTGTTCTCGGAAAGTTTACCACCCACGCCTCCTCGACCGCCGATTTGGCGCCTCGTAAAAAATGTCAATGAAGTGATTTATAAAAGCGGCGCAAAAGCAAATATGCTAATGCGTCTCCGTTAATGAAAGTTTTCAGTCGCGAGGACTGTATTCACTTGGTCATCGGTGGTCAGCGGCTTATTAGCTAGCCTATAATCTCGGCTCGAGCATAATGTCTTTATTTTTTTTTTCCACCGATTTGGTTTTGCGTGCCCGGAGTTGCACATTAAATTTTAATGCCATATTTTATGCTGCCAGAATTTACATAAATTTTGTTGTATTTTTGTGGGGTCTAATCAAATCAAAAGAGTGACGGACCTCCCCTTCCCTTCTTTCTATGAATTACTAAACAGACATGCAAACTTCTCTGGAGCTTTTGCCCCAAGGCAGTGTCGCTGTTTCCCTCCCACACCAACACCAACACCTACACACAAACACAGACATCAATACACCCATACAACCGGTAATCGCTCATGTACAGCTGTGTTAAAAATTATAACTATGATATAGTCAAAAACGATTTAAACTAATGCATTCGAAATATCGAAATACTATATCAAATGTTATTTTAAGAATTTTGTTTTCTAGTTTTTAAAATCCTTTTCTATTGCGGCTTAATAACTATTATTTTGAACGCAACCGTATGTGTTTAGATGTGGTTAGAAAAATAGCAGGCCACGTTGCGCATACGTCGCGTTGCCTGGCATAGGGCCAACCGAGCGAACAACAGTGCAGTCTTGGCAACAACAATAACGAGAGCCATCGCTCTTTGGACCCCATTGTTGCTGCTCCTTGGCTATATTGTATTTTTTCCTTTGGCCAACCGGCGGAAGGCGTTCCGAGGAAGGCGCATGTATAATTAGAGCTATGAAGCATGTCCGGTGAAGTTTGGCATTTAAATGTGGCAACAACATCGGGGCAGCAGAGGCAGCAAAGGCAGCAGAGGTAGCCAGATCGCCATTTTGCCATTACCAAGTTTGGAATTGGGCAGGGGAAAGTCTCGGGTTGCCATTGTTGTTGCCTAGATATATTTTATAATGCCACAAACATGCACGACTCCTTGCTCTATACGTTTCTCTGTGTGTGTGTGTGTGTGCACTCCGTTTGGTTTACGTACTGCGCCTCCGCATGCAAACAGGACACGGACGACCCGGAGGACTCGGAGGATTCCGAGGATACCCAGACCAGCCAGGAGAACCTAACCAACCGTATCCCGGGCTTACCAGCCAACCGGAGAAGGAGGAGCAGGAAACGAGGAAGGGGCGAGCGGAACAGGAACTTTGTGTGCAACTTTATCTTTTGATTTATACAATAATAAACACAAATGTGCACAAAAGTTCTTTGTACTTTGTTCTTTGCTCTGGCAAAGCGGCAGAATTCCGAAAGTTAAATCGGGAAATGTTTACATGAGCAGTTGACTCCTGCTAATTGGAAGTCCTGTCAAAGGCTTTTTCTCTCCTGCTTTCTCTCTCTTCGGCCTGAGTCCTTTGTTGAGCATATTACTGCAGCTTATTACAGGAGCTTTATGCAAGAAAGTCATGTACTCCCTGTGGGTCACAGGAATCGGAGGAGTCCGGCTTTCCATTAAGGGACGCACCGAAAACAGCAGGAACACGAAGACAAGGCTGGGCGGATCGATTTTCAATTGTTGGCAACTGGAGTCGGGGCAATTCAATGAATCGTAAGTGGCCCGGTCCTCCCACAGAAGTGTGCCTTAACCCATTAAATGCAAGCAACTGCAATCGAACACGCAATCCTTGGCGCAGTCACAAAACGTTAATGCAACCGAGCCGACAGCCAATAGTGTTGCCCAATTTCTTATTCTTTGGGTAAGTCTAGCTTTTTTTCTAGGAAAAATATATATAAAGGTACTTGATTATTTAGTAGCATGTTTATTCACCGGAATTTAATAACATTTGAATGCCAAGGTCTCAATTTTAAGGTCAATCCGTTTCATGCTTAAATGCCTACAAATTGTGGCTTAAAATAGCAAACGACGCAGGAATTGACCTTTTAATATTTAATTGAGTTCATTATTTGTTCATTGTGTTGCTAATGTCGTTTAATTGTTATATATATACCCATTCAATGAATTATTTATTAAAAAGTTTTATTAGGAGTATGAACATACTTTTATATTTTATTTACAACAATTGTTTCATAGCACTTTAAACCACTTGTAATCCTTAGCTGACCCTTCTTTTGGCTATATGCAACTGCCACCACTGCTGGCCAAAAAGCGGGGTCTCCGTTTCATGTTCCATGTGGCGGCAATGTGGTGCACATTAAGCTTAACACCGCTTAAACGCGAGTAACGCCGAAGCGCCACTTTAAGCCGCTGCCAGTAATGGCCGCCAACTCATTCGGTATTCGACGGAGGCGCCGCGTAATAATGTTAAATGTCAGGTGCAATGCAGCTGTCCCTGCCGCAATCGAAGTGGATGTGGCAGTGGAAGTGGAAGTGGCTGTGGCAATGGAAGTCGAACCCGGAGTCGAAGCACACCAGCAGGCACTAATTAAGTTGCCCGGCAGCCGCGTAACTGCCATAAAATATGCGCAGTGGGAATTCGAATTCGGATCCGGACCCCGATCGCTTTGTCGGCCGTGGCAGACACTCCACTCCTTTCCACTCCACTCGCTGCAGTTGCAACCTGTAACGAACACACACACAAGTGCTGCTCACTCCCAACACGCTCTGTCTACATTTTGTCCGGCCTGCTCAGGGTAGGTGGCGTGGGTTTGTGTTAAGAGAGAACAGGGGTGCTACAGAATTAAATAGTAGACAGAGATAAACAAAAGGCCAAAACTGATCATACACCAAACGGCTATGAATCGGACGAAAAATAAAGGTATCCATCGATGTTGGAGGACCAGATGGTGATGGCCTCCTCTATACCCACCCTACCAGTAGAATCTGAGAAGATTCCACCCCTTTATCAACTGCTATGCTACATTTCCAAAACTTTGCCCTCCAAGAATACTACTTTTAATTCATGGTTAATATAATATAATTATAAAGAAAACGAAAGAAAAGCGATAATATACATGTTGGAATTTTAACCTAACCTTAAATCTAATTAACAATATTTAAGAAAAGCTTATCACCTATCGATATGTGTTTGTTTATAACTTCGAAAAGAAAAGGAAAGGTATCAAAATTAGAAGGGTTCCTAACTTTAAATGATTTCTCACATTTACTCCATAAATTTATTCAAGGGTTGCAAGCAATAGGAAATATATATATATGGCCAAAAATATACGAAAATACAAGAGATTACACGGCTATGCCGTACTCACGACAATTCCAACGAAGTCAGCAGGCCTGTTGACGGTGTTGTTGTGGTTGCTGTTTTATGAAAGAAAAAGGCGAATATATAATCCTCTACTGCTGCACCATAAAACTATAACGGGGTCGAAGAGGTTTATAAGTACATGTTTTACGAGTTTAAAGTAGCAAAATAAAATTTATGTATACGATACAAAAAGTTCCAATTAGAGATCCAGGCGGGCCCGAACGATCGTGTCGATCGTCGTCGACGTTCGCCTGTATGCGGCGTTCTTGTGAGCCGAAGGCGTTTGCGCTTGTGTGCGCAGCAGGCGTTTGCGCTTGTGTGCGCAGATGCAAGATGGCGCCTTGGGCGCGCGGATGTGCGTTCTGATCACGATGAGTGTGTGCGCTTTCGCACGAGCGCGGATGCAAGATGGCGCCTTCGCCTTCACGCGGCGATGTGCGTGCTTTCGCCCTCGTGCAGCGATGTGCGTGTGCGATCGCGCGTGTGCAGCTATGTGCGTGTATACGATCACGCGTGTGCAGCGTTGTGCTTGTATGCGATCGCCTAAGTATGGCGACGATGTGACGCGCCAGGCGTCTGGAGAAGTCCCTCCTCAAATTCGGCGTCTCCGGCGTTCTTGGAATTCCGCCCTTGTAAAAACACTAGTTTAAATCACTAGGCCTTTAGCCGTTCACTGGCTTACCGTTGACAGAAGCAGTTTCCTCGAATTCACCGATTCCTAGAATTCGCAAAATTCCGGGAATTCCCAAATTCCTTGACTTCACTTTTCTACACGTCACAGATCGTGGGATCGGCTGAAGGTTTTCCCAGTTGGGGTTAATCGGGTCTCTCTTGTTGCAGTACAAACAATTCAAATATTTAATATTCACTTTTTGAAGTTTTAAGATTTAATCACTGCGAGAGATGTCCGTTTCGTTCGGCGATCAGAAGAAAAGAGAGAGAGTGGACGTATACGAGCGTCCTGCAAAATGCCATAATGCCAAAAAAAGCTTAACGCGATCAATCGATTGGCGATTTTGTCATGTGGTAAAGGTCATTACTGAATGCAATTTAGACTCGACCCTTGCAAGATGGTATTATCGTGTGGTAAAGGTCATTGCTGAATATTATTTTGACACGACCCTCATAACCACAGATTCTATTTTAGTCCCTGCGATTAAAATAGAAACTGAAGAAAGGGTCCAAATGCAATCACCAGATGTCCTTAGCATGAAATGTCTGGGAGGTGATATGTCCGATGTAACTGGTGGTGACACTGAAGAATCAGCTGATTGCAACACCTTTACCGGCTCTTTAGCATTCGTGGTTAGTGTCGGATGTCCCTTTTCGAGACTAGACGGACATCCGCTTTGGAGTTTTCCGAAGCTGATGCGCATTTGGCACAGTCGGGTTTGTACGTATCTGGTGTACCGCAACCATAACAGAAGATGCGGCGAGGTTTACGACAATCATGGTACCTGTGACCCTTGGCGTCACAATTCCAGCAGGTTAGCTTTTCTGCCACCTTGATGGCACGGACTTCGTCAACTGTTGAGTTATCATCGACGGAGTGTTCTTCATCATTGTTTTCACATTCGATAGTTATATCGCTTGGCGAGTCACTGAACTTGATGCGCCAGTTCGAAATAGTGTTTGAGATCTTGTCTGGACGATCGATTGATAGATCGCTGTGTGGGCTGCGGCCGCTTCGACCACTTGTCAGAGTTCCTTCCGAGCCAACCGGGTTGCTTGGATGAGCTGCATGAGCTGAATTATTTCTTTGGACCTGATGGCCGACACGCTGATTGCTTGCACCCATTGTAGATTCATTTAGTTGCTGAAAAGCATCAGTGATCTGATTGGTTATGTCCATTGAAAGTTGTGCATGAAATCTCTCAAATGCACGAGAGATTAACTGCTGAATTCGACTTTCGTCTACGTCTGATGAGTTCTGAGAAGTTACTTGTTCCGTTCGTTGTTGAGGAATCGACTGAGAGTCCTGTTGATTTGCATTAGCGTTTGCCATGAGCGCGCGTGAATTCGATCTAGTTGTCATTCTGTGACTGTTCGAGCTCGCGCCTGGATCGCTCTGAGATCCAATAGATTTGGAACAAGTGGGACAATTGGAATCGGTTCGTAGCCAATTTTGTATACATGCTACATGAAAAGAATGTTTGCAGCCTGTTTCGTGCAGGTCTGCTGAAGCAATTGTGACATTGCAAATGAGACAAATCCCTATCTCTTCCTCACTTTCAAGTGAGACCAAATTTTCTGTACTACGTACTAAAGGCATTCTAATATTCTAGAACTTTCTAAAAGATTCTTACAAATGAAATAGGCGATAAACGGTAAATTTGACGGTAAGCGATAAGTCTGACGATAAGCGATAAAACTGACGGTAGGCGATAAAACTGACGGTAAGCGATAAGTCTGACGATAAGCGATAATTCTGACGATAAGCGATAAATTTGGCGATAAACGATAAGTCTGACGGTAAGCGATAAGTCAAACGATAAGCGATAAATCTAACGGTAAACGATAAAACTGACGATAATTGAGGGACTTATGTTTGGAAGGCAGCATAAGCAGGAATTTAACATCGATGGATAATATAAACTGTATGTGGAAACTGATTTACTATGGAAATAAAATTGTGTGATGTCTCACCCAGTGAAAGAGGAACTTGCCGAAACTATCCAGCAAGAGCAAATCTCGATTCCACTTAGGTAAGATAGTGGGCTTAAGCAATTTCTCCTGGCCTAGAACCGATCAACACCAGAACTAGTAATCCTAAGAAAAATTTGCTTAAGGTGGAGCTCGTTTTCTATAATGTTCGGCTTCCGAACTGATAGTAAAACGAAAAATTACATGATAAATATATCTGCTGGACTGGGTCTGAAACTATCCAGACTGCCAGTAAATCCGAGACGAGAATATATTTATCAACTGAAACTACGACTCAAAACATTGGATGGAAATACTATTTTCGGGAAGCTAGGGAGTCCAACGACTAGAACCGAATCAGGCTACGCTGGCTTCACGATTGGGCGCCATTAATTCTGTAACGAACACACACACAAGTGCTGCTCACTCCCAACACGCTCTGTCTACATTTTGTCCGGCCTGCTCAGGGTAGGTGGCGTGGGTTTGTGTTAAGAGAGAACAGGGGTGCTACAGAATTAAATAGTAGACAGAGATAAACAAAAGGCCAAAACTGATCATACACCAAACGGCTATGAATCGGACGAAAAATAAAGGTATCCATCGATGTTGGAGGACCAGATGGTGATGGCCTCCTCTATACCCACCCTACCAGTAGAATCTGAGAAGATTCCACCCCTTTATCAACTGCTATGCTACATTTCCAAAACTTTGCCCTCCAAGAATACTACTTTTAATTCATGGTTAATATAATATAATTATAAAGAAAACGAAAGAAAAGCGATAATATACATGTTGGAATTTTAACCTAACCTTAAATCTAATTAACAATATTTAAGAAAAGCTTATCACCTATCGATATGTGTTTGTTTATAACTTCGAAAAGAAAAGGAAAGGTATCAAAATTAGAAGGGTTCCTAACTTTAAATGATTTCTCACATTTACTCCATAAATTTATTCAAGGGTTGCAAGCAATAGGAAATATATATATATGGCCAAAAATATACGAAAATACAAGAGATTACACGGCTATGCCGTACTCACGACAATTCCAACGAAGTCAGCAGGCCTGTTGACGGTGTTGTTGTGGTTGCTGTTTTATGAAAGAAAAAGGCGAATATATAATCCTCTACTGCTGCACCATAAAACTATAACGGGGTCGAAGAGGTTTATAAGTACATGTTTTACGAGTTTAAAGTAGCAAAATAAAATTTATGTATACGATACAAAAAGTTCCAATTAGAGATCCAGGCGGGCCCGAACGATCGTGTCGATCGTCGTCGACGTTCGCCTGTATGCGGCGTTCTTGTGAGCCGAAGGCGTTTGCGCTTGTGTGCGCAGCAGGCGTTTGCGCTTGTGTGCGCAGATGCAAGATGGCGCCTTGGGCGCGCGGATGTGCGTTCTGATCACGATGAGTGTGTGCGCTTTCGCACGAGCGCGGATGCAAGATGGCGCCTTCGCCTTCACGCGGCGATGTGCGTGCTTTCGCCCTCGTGCAGCGATGTGCGTGTGCGATCGCGCGTGTGCAGCTATGTGCGTGTATACGATCACGCGTGTGCAGCGTTGTGCTTGTATGCGATCGCCTAAGTATGGCGACGATGTGACGCGCCAGGCGTCTGGAGAAGTCCCTCCTCAAATTCGGCGTCTCCGGCGTTCTTGGAATTCCGCCCTTGTAAAAACACTAGTTTAAATCACTAGGCCTTTAGCCGTTCACTGGCTTACCGTTGACAGAAGCAGTTTCCTCGAATTCACCGATTCCTAGAATTCGCAAAATTCCGGGAATTCCCAAATTCCTTGACTTCACTTTTCTACACGTCACAGATCGTGGGATCGGCTGAAGGTTTTCCCAGTTGGGGTTAATCGGGTCTCTCTTGTTGCAGTACAAACAATTCAAATATTTAATATTCACTTTTTGAAGTTTTAAGATTTAATCACTGCGAGAGATGTCCGTTGCGTGCGGCGATCAGAGGAAAAGAGGGAGGGTGGACGTATACGAGCGTCCTGCAAAATGCCATAATGCCAAAAAAAGCTTAACGCGATCAATCGATTGGCGATTTTGTCATGTGGTAAAGGTCATTACTGAATGCAATTTAGACTCGACCCTTGCAAGATGGTATTATCGTGTGGTAAAGGTCATTGCTGAATATTATTTTGACACGACCCTCATAAACCTGGAGCGGTGTTGGAGTTGCACTGCCGTTGCACGTAGTTTATGGCATCGGGCTAAGCGAAGTCGACGCGAGTCAAGAAGTTCTCCGTTTGTTACCAGCCCTAAATTTACACGGGACATGCAACCAATGGCTTCTAATGTGGGCTTTGCAACCATCAGTCGGAAGCGTAGGAGTCGTAGATAAATGTCTTACTCAGTCAGGAGTCATGAGAAAAGAGCCCCACTCAGGAAATACTGGTTACTTAAATTTGAAAAAATTATTTACATTTATTTTACTAAATTTAAAATATAAATTACTACAGCTATTAAGATTTCGCAAGCTTTATATCACGTTCTACGCAGCAGAAGTTGGAGTCGGTACTTTAGTTTCTTCAAGATTACTGTGTCCGTTGTCCAATTGGGATTTCTGTTTGACAAAGGCAGGATTCTTGGGTTTCGGTCTCAGGAAAAGATCCAGTCCACCAAAAGGTGCCTCAATGAGAATGTGCATTACGTAAGCCATCAAGCATGAGAATCCCATGGTTGTCCAGAAATTGCGCATCTGTAGGAAAATAATTAATATTAAAAATTGAACTGCAAACTTCTAGTTGCTTTTTGAAACCTACAATTGTGTAGTCTGAGAAGTAACCATTCGTCCTGCCGTTTCTGGCGTTCATCTCCTGAATGAACATGTGGAAGAGGTAGATGGAGTAGGAGAGCCTAGAGAGAGGCTGCCACAGCGGGGAGGAGAGGAAGCTGTTGGCCAGTCCTCCGTATCCCTGCATGCAGGCGAAGACCACCCAGCAAACGGCCATCGACCAACCCACTCGGGTGAGGGTGTAGTAAGAGGCCTCCCCGAAGGTGGACAAAGGAACGGCGCTCCACTTGGCATACGGGTACATGGCGAAGATCGAGGTGAAGATCATAGCCAGGCAGAGGATCCATCCCGCCCACACGAACATCCAACTCAGCTGGAATTTCCTTCCCTTATTGTAGTGCAGAAAGTATCCGAAGAGGAAGCCAATCAGCCAGGGAGTTGCATGGTTATGGGTCGCAAAGTACATATCTTTGTTGGCATCAGAAGAAAATTGCCTAAGTAATAAGGTTTCATTAAAAAAGATTCACATAAGTTTGTAGTTTTACATACTTCAAAATCATCGAGTAATCGTTGACCATTATGGTGGTAAAAAGACAGACAGATAGTAAAAGAATGAGAACAAAGATGCCAGCAGCCGCTTTCTTTCCCCATTTGTAGAGGGAGAACAGCAGGATCGGAGACAGAATGAACATCTGCATATCCAAGGACAGATACCAAGATTGTCCAATGCACTGAAATCAAAAAATAAATTATTGATATATATCAAAGATTAATAATGATATTGACCTACCGTATTGTTTGTATAGTTGTTCACGAAGAGCAAAGTCCAATACCAACCATTTTCACAGGTCGCCTTTCCTGAGTATCCACTGGCAAAAAGTGGTCCGCCTGATATGAGAGTCATGAGTTTCATGTGGACAACGATAGCAAAGGCCAAAAGTGGGACAATTCGGATTAATCGATGTAGGTACATAAGTGGTACGTTTAGTTTGCCCTTGGTTCTGTAAAAGTAATTTGTTTTTAAGTACTTATTATTGTAAAATAGTTTTTTTTACTTACTTGTCCATCATTCGCAAAGGAATCATAGCCACCAATAATCCACCAAGTACAAAGAACGAATCCACTGAGTAAAATCCATGCAAAATGAAACTAGAATAAGGTGCCTCTGCCCACTAAAACAAAAAATACTTTAAAAATACTTCTCATACAAAGTATTAAGTATTCAACTCACCGAAACGAAACGGAAAATATTTATGTCAGCCGATAATAAAGTCATGATGTACTGATGACTGAACACCACCCACATAAGCGACAGGCACCGAATTCCATTAATACAGTCAATAACATTCGGATTCGACTTAACTGGCACAATTCGAAATAGAGCTCTAGAGTTTGCCCTCGCGGAAAATACCTTTACGATTGTGGGGAGATGATCTAAAGCAAACGATTCATTGTGAAAACAGGTACGGATCGATAATTTTATGTTAACTCACCCTGATTCTTGACCAGACAGTAGTCCCACAACGTAAACAAAGCTACCAGGCCGCCCATCACCGATAACATCACTCTATAATCAAAGGCGTTAGTCGGGAAAAGATTAAGACGTCTACACACTTACATCATAAAAATGGTGAGTCCATCCCAGGGTTCACTTTCGCTGGTCTGGCAACTGCTTTCGCTGATACTCATGACCGAGCTGGGGAAAGTGGTATTCAGGAACTGCTTCACTAGTTGGCCCACAAACGCGTTCATGTGACTCGCCGAACAGGAGGCCGGAAAACAGGTGGCGGTCTTGAAATTTCCCACCATCCTGGTCTGGACTCCAAGCGCTGCCGCCGCCGACACTGAGAGAAAGCAGTACTTCCCCTGAATGGTTCTGCCCTGGCTGGTGTCCTTTTTGATGGCGAGACACTCGTCGAACTGACCCAGATCGTACATGTTGCCAGTGAGCAGGCCAGAAGGTATGGAACCCCAGGCATCTAGCACTGATGCAATAATGATAACATGGTCATAAAAAAAGTACTCGCCTCGGTTCAAAGATCACTTACTCTTCAGTGCCCAGTATTGACCACTTTGCAGACCAGTCATAAATGCGGCCAAATCACTGAGGCACAGCAGATCCTCCTGACTTGCCGCTCGGGTATCGAGGAGGTTTAAGTCTTCGGGTTTTACATCCTGAATGCGTCCTGCAAACTCAAATGCCAAGGATCTGAGTTGACTTAGTTTTTGGAACTCCGGCAGGACATCGCTTTCTTTTGGTTGCGAGGCACTAATGAGCGCGAGCCCACAGAGGAAAATCACTCCGAGTATTTTGGCCATTGTGGCTTGACTGTTAATAATGATTTCTCATCGAATTCAGGAAGCCTTTTATATACGAATAAGACTCCGATAAGCACAGTCTACGACAACAAATCGTGATTAGTCATGGATGGTCGATTCCATTGACCACGACAGATAAGCTTATCTTTAAAATTCTCAGTATGAAATTGTTAACCAAAACATCAAGATTACTTATAGCTACTTAATCGGATGAAGATTAAAAATAAGTGAATTATGCATATTGTATCAGCAGAAATGTAAAAATTTTACCATTTTTAAAATTTCACAATTCCTTATTTATTGTTATAAATCGTTTTCTATCAATGGACAATGCTATCTTAAAACCCCCAAAGTAAAAATTTGTATGGTAATAAATTGTCTTGTATCAGGAAACACGTGTATTGCTTTTCTTTTAATAAAGTACAACAAATTTAATTATCTAATCAGTTCGTATTTCAGTATTTGATTCAGTTCCCTCAGTTTCTCTTTGCTTAATCAGGTCAACATCATCTATCGGATTCTCCGAAAACTATTCAGAGTTCGTAGTTTGTACAATCTTTGCACATTTGATTTTTTGGGGACGTAAAAGAAAGTCCAGTCCTCCAATGGAAGCCTCGATTATAAGATTCAGGACATGGGAAAATAAGACTGTAAATCCAAGACTTTTCCAGGAATGCAGTATCTGAAAAAATTGTTATTTAAGCCATACAAATAAAATGATCCGAGAAGTCCGAGAAGTACGTATTTGTATCTCCTGTATGAAACTGTGCCAAATGTTCACCGAATACGAGAGTTTGGAGAAAGTGATCAACATCACGGAGTTCCTGTATCGCGGATCGGATAGAGCGCGAAGATCGAATGATTTAAAAGTACATCTTGGGTTTAAAAGTACATCTGCTTTTGCAACGAGAGATCCAAACTGGGTAAGAAAAAGTTACTTCAATTTCTTTCATTCAGTCAACTAAAACACTTACTTTGTGATTGGGTAGTAGTCGTAGATACATGTCTTTCTCATTCTGGAATCAGGATCATTCACTACAGCCAACTTAATTTGAGCCAAAGTTATTTACATTTATTTTCCTACACTTAAAATATAAATTACACATTTCTTATACCTATGCAGCAGAAGTTGGAGTCGTTATTTTAGTTTCTTTTAGATTACTGTTTCCGTTGTCTACTTGGGATTCTTGTTTGATAAAGTTAGGGCTCTTGGGTTTCGGTCGCAAGAAGAGATCCAGTCCACCGAAAGGTGCCTCAATGAGAATGTGCATTACGTAAGCAAACAAGCATGTGAATCCCAAAGTTGACCAGAAGTTGCGCATCTATAATAAATAGAGTTAATATTAAAAATTTAACTGCAAACTTCTAGTTGCTTTTTGAAACCTACAATTGTGTAGTCTGAGAAGTAACCATTCGTCCTGCCGTTTCTGGCGTTCATCTCCTGAATGAACATGTGAAAGAGGAAAATGGAGTAGGAGAGCCTGGAGAGGGGCTGCCAAAGCGGGGAGGAGAGGAAGCTGTTGGCCAGTCCTCCGTATCCCTGCATGCAGGCGAAGACCACCCAGCAAATGGCCATCGACCAGCCCAATCGGGTGAGGGTGTAGTAAGAGGCCTCCCCGAAGGTGGACAAAGGAACGGCCCTCCACTTGGCATACGGGTACATGGCGAAGATCGAGGTGAAGATCATGGCCAAGCAGAGGATCCATCCCGCCCACACGGCCATCCAACTCACTTGGAACTTCCTTCCCTTATTGTAGTGCAGAAAGTATCCGAAGAGGAAGCCAACAAGCCAGGGTCTTGCATGGTTATGAGTCGCTAAGTACATATTATCGATAGCACCGGCAGTATATTGCCTAGGTCAAAAGGGTTTGTTAAAGAAGAAGCACAATAGTGTGCAGATTTACATACTTCAAAATCATTGAATAGCCGTTGACCATTATGGTGGTAAAAAGACAGACAGATAGTAAAAGAATGAGAACAAAGATGCCAGCAGCAGCTTTCTTTCCCCATTTATAAAGGGAGAACAGCAGGATCGGAGACAGAATGAACATCTGCATATCCAAGGACAGATACCAAGATGGTCCAATGCACTAAATTAAAAAAATAATAATTATATTTTATTAAAGACTCAAAAAGAGTTTGACTTACCATATTGGTTGTATAGTTGTTCACGAAGAGCAAAGTCCAATACCAACCATTTTCACAGACTGTCTTTCCAGAATATCCACCTGAAAAAAGTGGTCCGCCTGCTATGAGAGTCATAAGTTTCATGTAAACAACGATAGCAAAGGCCAAAAGTGGAACAATTCTAATTAATCGATGTAGGTACATAAGTGGTACGTTCAGTTTGCCCTTGGTTCTGTGAGAGAAATTGGTTTATAAGTAAAAGTAACTAATAAATAGTATTTATCAATTACTTGTCCATCATTCGCAAAGGAATCATAGCCACCAATAATCCACCAAGCACAAAGAACGAATCCACTGAGTAAAATCCATGCAAAATAAAACTAGCATAAGGTGTCTCTGCCCACTAAAATAAAATACTTCAAAAATACTTCTCTTAAAAAGTGTTAAAAAATTTAACTCACCGAAACGAAATGAAAAATATTTATGTCCGCAGAAAGTAAGGTTAAGATGTATTGGTGACTGAACATCACCCACATAAGGGACAGGCACCGAATACCACTAATACAGTCAATAACATTCGGATTCGACTCTACTGGCACGATTCGAAATAGAGCTCTAGAATTTGCCCTCGCGGAAAATACCTTTACGATTGTGGGAAGATCATCTAAAGTGAACGATTCATTGTGAAAACAGGTGCGGATCGATAATTTTATGTTAACTCACCCTGATTCTTGACCAGACAGTAGTCCCACAAAGTAAACAAAGCTACCAGGCAGCCCATCACCAACAACATCACTCTTTAATCAAAGGCGTTAGTCGGGAAAAGATTAAGACGTCTACACACTTACATCATAAAAATGGTGAGTCCATCCCAAGGTTCACTTTCGCTGGTCTGGCAACTGCTTTCGCTGATACTCATGACCGAGCTGGGGAAAGTGGTATTCAGGAACTGCTTCACCAGTTGGCCCACAAACGCGTTCATGTGACTCGCCGAACAGGAGGCCGGAAAACAGGTGGCGGTCTTGAAATTTCCCACCATCCTGGTCTGGACTCCAAGCGCTGCCGCCGCCGACACTGAGAGAAAGCAGTACTTCCCCTGAATGGTTCTGCCCTGGCTGGTGTCCTTTTTGATGGCGAGACACTCGTCGAACTGACCCAGATCGTACATGTTGCCAGTGAGCAGGCCAGAAGGTATGGAACCCCAGGCATCTAGCACTGATGCAATAATGATAACATGGTCATAAAAAAAGTACTCGCCTCGGTTCAAAGATCACTTACTCTTCAGTGCCCAGTATTGACCACTTTGCAGACCAGTCATAAATGCGGCCAAATCACTGAGGCACAGCAGATCCTCCTGACTTGGCACTCGGGAATCGAGCAGGTTTAAGTCTTCGGGTTTTACATCCTGAACGCGTCCTGCAAACTCAAATGCCAAGGATCTGAGTTGACTTAGTTTTTGGAACTCCGGCAGGACATCGCCTTCTTTTGGTTGCGAGGCACTAATGAGCACGAGCCCACAGAGGAAAATCACTCCGAGTATTTTGGCCATTATGGCTTAACTATTTTTTATGACTTCTCATCGAATTCGGGAAGCCTTTTATATGCGAATGAGACACCGATAAGCAATGTCTACGACAACAAAACGTGATTAGTCATATGATGATCGATTCCATCGAACACGACAGATAAGCCACTCTTTGAAATATGCGGTATGAAATTGTTAATCAAAACATCAAGAGTGCTAATAGGTACTGAATCGGATGAAGATTATGCATATTGTATCACCTTATATGGTAATAAATTGTCTTGTATCAGGAAACATGTGTTTTGCTTTTGTTTTACTAAAGTACAAAAAAATTATTTATCTAATCAGCTTGTGTTGGAGTCAGTGGCGGATTTACGGGGGCTTTTGGGGGTTCAAACCTTTACCAAAAAACCGAATCGACATCGGCCAATTTTACCCAAAACTAAACCCAACAGGAAATCGAACCCAGCCAATTCCATGCAGATCAATTGATCAAAAATGTTCCTCATGTTCCATATGAGGTTTGGCAATAATTTCTCAACAAAAGGCCAAGCCTTATTCTTTTTAAAGTGGGGAAAAGGTTTTTACAGACATAAATATTATAATATAATAATATATCCAAATTATATCATCACAATTAACCCCCTGTTACAATCTACGAGGTTTTTTGAAAAATTCATCAAGTATTTTATTAAGAGTAAGTGGAATGTCGTAATGAATATTTAATGATGCAAGCCCATTTAACCGCCCTAGGCCAATTGTACTGGCGTCGCAGTTGAAACTGGTAAAACTGCTAGAATACGAAGTATTGTAGTCACGTTAGGAAAAGCCTCGCTATTAACCAACTGAAAAAATCGACATGTAAGTTAACTCATAAAATGTAGTTATTTGAAAATGATCCTTACATCAAGTGCTTCGAAAACATTTTTATCTTCCGATCTTCAACTCGCCTTCTCCACTTCTTAACTTCTGATACGAACCCATTTTCAGAACAGTCAAGAACCGTAGCATAAAACTCGTATAATTATCAACACCGAAATCATTTTTCGGGAACTAATTTGTGTTTTGCTAAACGACTTTGAAGATGATTTATGTATGTATCGATGAATGGGATGTAAAATGGGATTCTGTAGTAATCCTCGACAGATTCAGCAACGACGTTGCATCTTCCTGTTTGACGACTGTTGACACGAGGTTTCTTCATTTCGATGTCGTTATGTGTACACACATTTTGTACATCTTCAAAAATTTGAGCAATCTAGACCTGCATCTAAGAGATATGTCTTGATAGTGTTGGCTAGACCTTGCCCAAAAACGTCTTTCACTTCCATAAATCCCAAAAAAACCT